ACATTTAGGTCACTACAATACTTTACATTTAGGTCATTACAATACTTTACATTTAGGTCACTACAATACTTTACATTTAGGTCATTACAATACTTTACATTTCGGTCACTACAATACTTTACATTTAGGTCATTACAATACTTTAAATTTAGGTCACTACAATACTTTACATTTCGGTCACTACAATACTCTTAGATAACTCATTTTAAAATTGTGCTTATTCAGACAGGCCGTTGTCTTAACCTACTCCAATAGATGATAAAAATAATTTGAAGCTGTAACACATTGTGATGGCACAATGTGATTGTTAGTGGTGTACACATATACATGTGATTGTTAGTGGTGTACACATATACATGTGATTGTTAGTGGTGTACACATATACATGTGATTGTTAGTGGTGTACACATATACATGTGATTGTTAGTGGTGTACACATATACATGTGATTGTTAGTGGTGTACACATATACATGTGATTGTTAGTGGTGTACACATATACATGTGATTGTTAGTGGTGTACACATATACATGTGATTGTTAGTGGTGTACACATATACATGTGATTGTTAGTGGTGTACACATATACATGTGATTGTTAGTGGTGTACACATAACATGTGATTGTTAGTGGTGTACACATATACATGTGATTGTTAGTGGTGTACACATATACATGTGATTGCTAGTGGTGTACACATATACATGTGATTGTTAGTGGTGTACACATATACATGTGATTGTTAGTGGTGTACACATATACATGTGATTGTTAGTGGTGTACACATAACATGTGATTGTTAGTGGTGTACACATATACATGTGATTGTTAGTGGTGTACACATATACATGTGATTGTTAGTGGTGTACACATATACATGTGATTGTTAGTGGTGTACACATATACATGTGATTGTTAGTGGTGTACACATATACATGTGATTGTTAGTGGTGTACACATATACATGTGATTGTTAGTGGTGTACACATATACATGTGATTGTTAGTGGTGTACACATATACATGTGATTGTTAGTGGTGTACACATATACATGTGATTGTTAGTGGTGTACACATATACATGTGATTGTTAGTGGTGTACACATATACATGTGATTGTTAGTGGTGTACACATATACATGTGATTGTTAGTGGTGTACACATATACATGTGATTGTTAGTGGTGTACACATATACATGTGATTGTTAGTGGTGTACACATAACATGTGATTGTTAGTGGTGTACACATATACATGTGATTGTTAGTGGTGTACACATATACATGTGATTGCTAGTGGTGTACACATATACATGTGATTGTTAGTGGTGTACACATATACATGTGATTGTTAGTGGTGTACACATATACATGTGATTGTTAGTGGTGTACACATAACATGTGATTGTTAGTGGTGTACACATATACATGTGATTGTTAGTGGTGTACACATATACATGTGATTGTTAGTGGTGTACACATATACATGTGATTGTTAGTGGTGTACACATATACATGTGATTGTTAGTGGTGTACACATATACATGTGATTGTTAGTGGTGTACACATATACATGTGATTGTTAGTGGTGTACACATATACATGTGATTGTTAGTGGTGTACACATATACATGTGATTGTTAGTGGTGTACACATATACATGTGATTGTTAGTGGTGTACACATATACATGTGATTGTTAGTGGTGTACACATAACATGTGATTGTTAGTGGTGTACACATATACATGTGATTGTTAGTGGTGTACACATATACATGTGATTGCTAGTGGTGTACACATATACATGTGATTGTTAGTGGTGTACACATATACATGTGATTGTTAGTGGTGTACACATATACATGTGATTGTTAGTGGTGTACACATAACATGTGATTGTTAGTGGTGTACACATATACATGTGATTGTTAGTGGTGTACACATATACATGTGATTGTTAGTGGTGTACACATATACATGTGATTGCTAGTGGTGTACACATATACATGTGATTGCTAGTGGTGTACACATATACATGTGATTGTTAGTGGTGTACACATATACATGTGATTGCGCAACAAGCAATCAAAATTAAATATGCGGACATCACGTGTAATGTATTTCATAAATTCTCTGACCATACTATATGTAAAACAATATGTCTAAATACCGACGATAAATAATCATAGCAAAAAGAGTTTGAGCTAGTTTGTGGCAAGAGTCTAACTAACTTATGTGGCAACCACGTCTCACTAACTTATCTGGCAACCAAGTCTCACTAGTTCGGCCATATTATATTAACAATACAAATTTTAAAAACACTATGTTGACGTAATGCTTGTTTACTGATTTTAATGTGACGTCAACCGCGGTTCTCTTTATCGGTTAATGACGTCACTTTCTGCAGCAAATGACCTGAAAAAGTAGCTCAACTACCCCCCCCCCCCCTTACACACACACGCACACGCAGAGACTTATGTCTTCTTCCATTCAGGTATTTATAGATGACCTATATAGAGATGGCGCCTGGAGATTACAACAGGTGGAGCAGGCGGCTAGTCTGTACACGTGCACATGGCCAGCGATGTGTTTACTGCTCACAAAGTATCCAAGACGTGAGCACTACACATCAGAGCTGTAAAGCTGTTTCTAGCCCTAACAGAGCCTGTAAGTAGGTCAACATCTTCTCGTTTCCATACTGGCCAGCTAGTATTTTTCAAACCAAATGTTAAATGTTGTATTAAATCGGTAAAAAAAATTAGCCACAAACCAAATGTTAAATGTATTAAATCGGTAAAAAAAATTTAGGAAATCTACTTCCTAAAACGCTGTTATTTGAAATCCTAAACAATGATGGACTACAAAATGTGTGTTAGCTTCAAGAAAAATATAACTTATATTCAATTGTGATTTTTTTTAAAGGTTCGTACAGTTTTTATTCGAATAAGTAACAAGTTGACTCCACCTAGCCACAAACCGACCTCCACCTAGCCACAAACCGACCTCCACCTAGCCACAAACCGACCTCCACATAGCCACAAACCGACCTCCATCTAGCCTCCACCTAGCCACAAACCGACCTCCACCTAGCCACAAACCGACCTCCATCTAGCCTCCACCTAGCCACAAACCGACCTCCACCTAGCCACAAACCGACCTCCATCTAGCCTCCACCTAGCCACAAACCGGCCTCCACCTAGCCACAAACCGGCCTCCACCTAGCCACAAACCGACCTCCATCTAGCCACAAACCGGCCTCCACCTAGCCACAAACCGGCCTCCACCTAGCCACAAACCGACCTCCACCTAGCCACAAACCGACCTCCACCTAGCCACAAACCGACCTCCACCTAGCCACAAACCGACCTCCACCTAGCCACAAACCGACCTCCATCTAGCCACAAACCGACCTCCATCTAGCCTCCACCTAGCCACAAACCGACCTCCACCTAGCCACAAACCGACCTCCACCTAGCCACAAACCGGCCTCCACCTAGCCACAAACCGACCTCCACCTAGCCACAAACCGGCCTCCACCTAGCCACAAACCGACCTCCACCTAGCCTCCACCTAGCCGCAAACCGGCCTCCACCTAGCCACAAACCGACCTCCATCTAGCAACAAACCGACCTCCATCTAGCCACAAACCGACCTCCACCTAGCCTCCACCTAGCCACAAACCGACCTCCACCTAGCCACAAACCGACCTCCATCTAGCCACAAACCGACCTCCATCTAGCCACAAACCGACCTCCACCTAGCCACAAACCGACCTCCATCTAGCCTCCACCTAGCCACAAACCGACCTCCACCTAGCCACAAACCGACCTCCACCTAGCCACAAACCGACCTCCATCTAGCCACAAACCGACCTCCACCTAGCCACAAACCGACCTCCATCTAGCCACAAACCGACCTCCATCTAGCCACAAACCGGCCTCCACATAGCCACAAACCGACCTCCACCTAGCCTCCACCTAGCCACAAACCGACCTCCACCTAGCCACAAACCGACCTCCATCTAGCCACAAACCGACCTCCACCTAGCCACAAACCGACCTCCACCTAGCCACAAACCGACCTCCACATAGCCACAAACCGACCTCCATCTAGCCTCCACCTAGCCACAAACCGACCTCCACCTAGCCACAAACCGACCTCCACCTAGCCACAAACCGACCTCCACCTAGCCACAAACCGACCTCCATCTAGCCACAAACCGACCTCCACCTAGCCACAAACCGACCTCCACATAGCCACAAACCGACCTCCATCTAGCCTCCACCTAGCCGCAAACCGACCTCCATCTAGCCACAAACCGACCTCCATCTAGCCACAAACCGACCTCCATCTAGCCACAAACCGACCTCCATCTAGCCACAAACCGACCTCCACATAGCCACAAACCGACCTCCATCTAGCCTCCACCTAGCCGCAAACCGACCTCCATCTAGCCACAAACCGACCTCCTCCTAGCCACAAACCGACCTCCATCTAGCCACAAACCGACCTCCATCTAGCCACAAACCGACCTCCACCTAGCCACAAACCGACCTCCACCTAGCCACAAACCGACCTCCATCTAGCCACAAACCGACCTCCACCTAGCCACAAACCGACCTCCATCTAGCCACAAACCGGCCTCCATCTAGCCAAAAACCGACCTCCATCTAGCCACAAACCGACCTCCACCTAGCCACAAACCGGCCTCCACCTAGCCACAAACCGGCCTCCACCTAGCCACAAACCGACCTCCATCTAGCCACAAACCGACCTCCATCTAGCCACAAACCGACCTCCACCTAGCCACAAACCGACCTCCATCTAGCCACAAACCGACCTCCACCTAGCCACAAACCGACCTCCACCTAGCCACAAACCGACCTCCACCTAGCCGCAAACCGGCCTCCACATAGCCACAAACCGACCTCCATCTAGCCTCCACCTAGCCACAAACCGACCTCCATCTAGCCTCCACCTTTCGTGTTAAACAGCTCGCACCATTTTGATCCGGCGAACGTGCGCGCACACGTGTACCTCCGTGAGTGAGCGATACAGACAAGCACTCATTCACATACGCACGCGGACACAGATACACACACACATGGACACTCGTGTAAGGCGTGAGTATTAATTTAGTCTACGAACTCATCTATTTATAGTCATCTGCCTAGTTTGTTTTTTGTTGTTATGTGTGTTTTACTTAAAGATAAGCTTCTGTGTAAGGGTAAAGTTATTTGTCAGATTTAAGGCTAGTTTTGGTTTGAAATGTCAAGTTGATGGTAACTCTGTTTAGTTTAAAAGAAAGTCTTGGGCTACAATAATCTGTGGTGTAGACTGACACATGTGTGGTGTGGACTACTGACATCTGTGTGGTGTAGACTGACATCTGTGTGGTGTAGACTGACATCTGTGTGGTGTAGACTGACATCTGTGTGATGTAGACTGACATCTGTGTGGTGTAGACTGACATCTGTGTGGTGTAGACTACTGACATCTGTGTGGTGTAGACTGACATCTGTGTGGTGTAGACTGACATCTGTGTCGTGTAGAATGACATCTGTGTGATGTAGACTGACATCTGTGTGGTGTAGACTGACATCTGTGTGGTGTAGACTGACATCTGTGTCGTGTAGAATGACATCTGTGTGATGTAGACTGACATCTGTGTGGTGTAGACTGACATCTGTGTGGTGTAGACTACTGACATCTGTGTGGTGTAGACTGACATCTGTGTGGTGTAGACTGACATCTGTGTGATGTAGACTACTGACATCTGTGTGGTGTAGACTGACATCTGTGTGGTGTAGACTACTGACATCTGTGTGGTGTAGACTGACATCTGTGTGGTGTAGACTGACATCTGTGTGGTGTAGACTGACATCTGTGTGGTGTAGACTACTGACATCTGTGTGGTGTAGACTACTGACATCTGTGTGGTGTGGGCTACTGACATCTGTGTGGTGTAGACTGACATCTGTGTGGTGTAGACTGACATCTGTGTGGTGTAGACTACTGACATCTGTGTGGTGTAGACTGACATCTGTGTGGTGTAGACTACTGACATCTGTGTGGTGTAGACTACTGACATCTGTGTGGTGTAGACTGACATCTGTGTGGTGTAGTCTACTGACATCTGTGTGGTGTAGACTGACATCTGTGTGGTGTAGACTGACATCTGTGTGGTGTAGACTGACATCTGTGTGGTTTAGACTGACATCTGTGTGGTGTAGAATGACATCTGTGTGATGTAGACTACTGACATCTGTGTGGTGTAGACTGACATCTGTATGGTGTGGACTGACATCTGTGTGGTGTTGACTGACATCTGTGTGGTGTAGACAACTGACATCTGTGTGGTGTAGACTGACATCTGTGTGGTGTAGACTGACATCTGTGTGGTTTAGACTGACATCTGTGTAGTGTAGACTGACATCTGTGTGGTGTAGACTGACATCTGTGTGGTGTAGACTGACATCTGTGCGGTGTAGACTACTGACATCTGTGTGGTGTAGACTGACTTCTGTGTGGTTTAGACTGACATCTGTGTGGTGTAGACTGACATCTGTGTGGTGTAGACTACTGACATCTGTGTGGTGTAGACTGACATCTGTGTGGTGTAGACTACTGACATCTGTGTGGTGTAGACTGACATCTGTGTGGTGTAGACTGACATTTGTGTGGTGTAGACTGACATCTGTGTGGTGTAAACTACTGACATCTGTGTGGTGTAGACTGACATCTGTCTGGTGTAGTCTACTGACATCTGTGTGGTGTAGACTGACATCTGTGTGGTGTAGACTGCCATCTGTGTGGTGTAGACTGACATCTGTGTGGTGTAGACTGACATCTGTGTCGTGTAGACTGACATCTGTGTGGTGTAGACTGACATCTGTGTGGTGTAGACTACTGACATCTGTGTGGTGTAGACTGACATCTGTGTGGTGTAGACTGACATCAGTGTGTTGTAGACTGACATCTGTGTGGTGTAGACTGACATCTGTGTGGTGTAGACTGACATCTGTGTGGTGTAGACTGACATCTGTGTGGTGTAGACTGACATCTGTGTGGTGTAGACTACTGACATCTGTGTGGTGTAGACTGACATCTGTGTGGTGTAGACTGACATCTGTGTGGTGTAGACTACTGACATCTGTGTGGTGTAGACTGACATCTGTGTGGTGTAGACTGACATCTGTGTGGTGTAGACTGACATCTGTGTGGTGTAGACTACTGACATCTGTGTGGTGTAGACTACTGACATCTGTGTGGTGTAGACTGACATCTGTGTGGTGTAGACTGACATCTGTGTGGTGTAGACTGACATCTGTTTGGTGTAGACTGACATCTGTGTGGTGTAGACTACTGACATCTGTGTGGTGTAGACTTACATCTGTGTGGTGTAGACTGACATCTGTGTGGTGTATACTATTGACATCTGTGTGGTGTAGACTGACAGCTGTGTGGTGTAGTCTACTGACATCTGTATGGTGTAGACTGACATCTGTGTGGTGTAGACTGACATCTGTGTGGTGTAGACTGACATCTGTGTGGTGTAGACTGACATCTGTGTGGTGTAGACTGACATCTGTGTGGTGTAGACTGACATCTGTGTGGTGTAGACTACTGACATATGTGTGGTGTAGACTGACATCTGTATGGTGTAGACTGACATCTGTGTGGTGTAGACTGACATCTGTGTGGTGTAGTCTACTGACATCTGTATGGTGTAGACTGACATCTGTGTGGTGTAGACTGAGATCTGTGTGGTGTAGACTACTGACATCTGTGTGGTGTAGACTACTGACAGCTATCGGAAACTAAAGCTATCGATTGTCCGGAGATTGAGCAGAAAAATCAATACTTTTGTTGCGCGTCCTTATCCTGACAAAATACACGATGACATTCTGATCACTTAGCCACAGCTAGGCAGATAGCCTCAGCTAGTTTGTTTATCATAGATAGTCTGTTAGCTAGACTTTTAGCTAGCCTGTTAGCTAGACTGTTAGCTAGACTATTAGCTAGTCTGTTGACTCTTAGCTAGTCTGTTGACTGTTAGCTAGTCTGTTAGCTAGACTGTTAGCTAGACTGTTAGCTAAACTGTTAGCTAGACTGTTAGCTAGTCTGTTGACTGTTAGCTGGTCTGTTGACTGTTAGCTAGTCTGTTAGCTAGACTGTTAGCTAGACTGTTAGCTAACTGTTAGCTAAACTGTTAGCTAGATTGTTAGCTAGTCTTTTAGCTAGACTGTTAGCTAGATTGTTAGCTAGACCGTTAGCTAGACTGTTAGCTAGTCTGTTAGCTAGACTGTTAGCTAGATTGTTAGCTAGACTGTTAGCTAGATTGTTAGCTAGATTGTTAGCTAGATTGTTAGCTAAACTGTTAGCTAACTGTTAGCTCAACTGTTAGGTAGATTGTTAGCTAGTCTGTTAGCTAGACTGTTAGCTAGATTGTTAGCTAGTCTGTTAGCTAGACTGTTAGCTAGATTGTTAGCTAGACTGTTAGCTAGACTGTTAGCTAGACTGTTAGCTAGACTGTTAGCTAGTCTGTTAGCTAGACTGTTAGCTAGTCTGTTAGCTAGACTGTTAGCTAGACTGTTAGCTAGATTGTTAGCTAGACTGTTAGCTAGACTGTTAGCTAGACTGTTAGCTAAACTGTTAGCTAGACTGTTAGCTAGACTGTTAGCTAGACTGTTAGCTAAACTGTTAGCTAGACTGTTAGCTAGACTGTTAGCTAGACTGTTAGCTAGTCTGTTAGCTAGTCTGTTAGCTAGACCGTTAGCTAGTCTGTTAGCTAGATTGTTAGCTAGACTGTTAGCTAGACTGTTAGCTAGACTGTTAGCTAGACAGTTAGCTAGACTGTTAGCTAGACTGTTAGCTAGTCTGTTAGCTAGACAGTTAGCTAGATTGTTAGCTAGACTGTTAGCTATTCTGTTAGCTAGACAGTTAGCTAGACTGTTAGCTAGACTGTTCGCTAGACTGTTAGCTAGTCTGTTAGCCAGATTGTTAGCTAGACTGTTCGCTAGACTGTTAGCTAGACTGTTAGCTAGACTGTTAGCTAGATTGTTAGCTAGACTGTTAGCTAGACTGTTAGCTAGACTGTTAGCTAGTCTGTTAGCTAGACTGTTAGCTAGATTGTTAGCTAGACTGTTAGCTAGATTGTTAGCTAGACTGTTAGCTAGACTGTTAGCTAGACTGTTAGCTAGACTGTTAGCTAGACTGTTAGCTAGACTGTTAGCTAATCTGTTAGCTAGACTGTTAGCTAGACTGTTAGCTAGACTGTTAGCTAGTCTGTTAGTTAGACTGTTAGTTCGATTGTTAGCTAGTCTGTTAGCTAGCAGCTTGCCTAGTATAAGACAAAGACAATATCTCGCATAAAGATTTCTTTAAACGTTGGCATAAAAAAGATCATTTGATCTGCTACATCAATGTTTGACATCAATGTTTGACATCAATGTTTGACATCAATGTTTGACATCAATGTTTGACATCAATGTTTGACATCAATGTTTGACATCAATGTTTGACATCAATGTTTGACATCAATGTTTGACATCAATGTTTGACATCAATGTTTGACATCAATGTTTGACATCAATGTTTGACATCAATGTTTGACATCAATGTTTGACATCAATGTTTGACATCAATGTTTGACATCAATGTTTGACATCAATGTTTGACATCAATGTTTGACATCAATGTTTGACATCAATGTTTGACATCAATGTTTGACATCAATGTTTGACATCAATGTTTGACATCTATGTTTGAGTTGTACCCTAAGTTGAGTACTTGATTGGTTTCATTGTTGTAGAGTCGTCAGTTGTATTTAATTAACAAGCGACGAGTTGATCAATAAAGTGGTTAGGTCGACCTTAAACTTTTAATTATGTTCGTTAACAAAATTTACAATGTGCACTTTTTACATAATTGTCGCGTGATACTGTCACGTGATGGTGTCACGTGATACTGTCACGTGGTGGTGTCACGTGATGGTGTCACGTAATGGTGTCACGTGATGGTGTCACGTGGTATCGTCACGTTATCTTAGGTCATAAAGTGTTTTTAAGTGACATTGATCAGAATATGTTTACATTTTTCTAGATCTGTGAAGTCTAAAAATGTCACGCTGATATTTAAACGAGTGCCACGCTTGACTTAAAAGTTTTCACGCTGAATACACTGAATTGGACTTTTTGCGAAGTCAAACTTAACGAACTGTCACGCTAACCTGAAGTAACTGTCACGCTGAACAAAAGAAACTGTCACGCTTAACTGAAACAACTGTCACGCTGGACATACCCAAGGAATTTGAGCACAAGGATATGACATTAGATGAACAAGCACGCACAAGAAGGCGTGGCCCTGACTCACGCAAGCTCCGCCTTGTCATGCGTAGGAAAAACAGTAGTGACAGCCAGCAAAGTGAAGACACGCCCCCTCCATGCGCCGGTCTACCGAGCACGCCAGCCAGCCCGTCCCACAGCTCTGTGTCCAGGGTCCCGTCCCACAGCTCTGTGTCCAGGGTCCCGTCCTTCAGGAGCGACTGCCCAGCCCAGCCAAGTGATGAGGGCAACATCACAGACGGCGTGTCACGTGCTCTAGGACCGAGACGGTGCTCCATGCCAAACGTCGTAGAGAACTTTCTCACGGTGCCGGATGAGTCAGCGCGTCTGCGGAGAGTCCGATCGTTTAAGACAACGTCCAAGGGAGCGGTGGTCAACAGAGGGGACTCCTTCAAGAAAAAAAGCACCCACAGCCTCATGTCCACAGGCAGCGCCATCACTGACGCCCGACCCCAGCAGCTACACCACAGGGCGTACACCTCAGGGGTGGCAAGCACCCCCACCTATTATAGAGTCATAATGATGGGCGCAGCAGGATGCGGAAAATCTTTAATGACGAAACAGTTTATGACGTCAGATTACGTTGGCAGTGGAGACGATCACCAGGGTATGTTCTCAAAGGTCACGTTTAGTCAAAGGTCACGTGTTTAGTCAAAGGTCACGTGTTTAGTCAAAGGTCACGTGTTTAGTCAAAGGTTACGTGTCAAAGGTCACGTGTTTAGCTTTAGATGATGCTTTTGTCAACAACATTTTCATGTTTTGTTGCTGGCAATAATCAAACTATGCGCAGCTACATCGATTAAAAATAATTTTTAATGGTGATGCAATTTGTGATGGGTATATCAATTTGTGATGGGTATATCAATTTGTGATGGGTATATCAATTTGTGATGGGTATATCAATTTGTGATGGGTATAGCAATCTGTGATGGGTATATCAATTTGTGATGGGTATATCAGTTTGTGATGGGTATATCAATTTGTGATGGGTATAGCAATTTATGATAGGCATATCAGTTTGTGATGGGTATATCAATTTGTGATGGGTATATCAATTTGTGATGGGTATATCAATTTGTGATGGGTATATCAATTTGTGATGGGTATATCAATTTGTGATGGGTATATCAATTTGTGATGGGTATATCAATTTGTGATGGGTATATCAATTTGTGATGGGTATATCAATTTGTGATGGGTATATCAATTTGTGATGGGTATATCAATTTGTGATGGGTATATCAATTTGTGATCGGGTATAAATATGAGAGATAGGTATTACAAAATCTAGCCTTCAGATCATTTTACTGTTATTTATATTTTGTCTATCCGAATGGTTTGACAGAAACGCACGAAAATACAGTATCGGTCCTGCTAGATGGAGAGGAATCGACTATTGAATTTATCGATCCGTTGGACAGAAATGTAAGCAATTTTTTTTAAATAATGATTGTACGAATTTGTGAATGAATTTGTGAATGATTGTGTAAATGATTGTTTAAATGATTGTGTGAATGATTGTGTGAATGATTGTGTGAATGATTGTTTGGATGATTGTGTGAATGAATGTTCAAATATGTGACCGTATGACTGCGTGACCGCGGGCCCGTTTGATCGTGTGATTGTGTGACAAAGTGATTGTGTGATTGTGTTACAAAGTGATTGTGTGATTGTGTGACAAAGTGATTGTGTTACAAAGTGATCGTGTAATTGTGTGACAAAGTGATTGTGTGATTGTCTGACAAAGTGATTGTGTAATTGTGTTACAAAGGAATCTATTCCCGATAAAAGCAAAGTAGAGGATGTTTGTTTTGTTTGTTTGTTCCTCACATGGATTTGATCGTGTACTTGCAGGTAAGTTGCAGGTAAGTTGCAGGTAAGTTGCAGGTAAGTTGCAGGTAAGTTGCAGGTAAGTTGCAGGTAAGTTGCAGGCAAGTTGCAGGTAAGTTGCAGGCAAGTTGCAGTGAAATTGTTAAGATAAAGTTTGCGGTACACTCTCTTTTTAACTGGAAAATTAGAGTCATCTCCAAAATACAATTTACAGTGACGAAAAGCCGACCTACACTGTCTTATATAATCTTTACATTTTTTAAAGTGCTTGAATTAGATCGACCACTTGCATATGCCACAAAAAGTTGGTATTTGGTGAGTAGATAGCTCTAGTGTCAAATTAATGGGTAAAAATTTTACGTTTTACCCCTCAATTTTAATTCAAATGGGGAAGAAACAGTATCAGGAATTTAAACTTTCCCACGTTCTTTGACTATACGGAAAAAAAAAACCGAAGAAAACATTTGAATAAAAGCAAAGTTCCTTTAGAATTGATACTATACGGTTTTCAAATAAGGGACATGTTTAACCGCTCAATTTTACCTACATTAAGGGATATAACTTCGTCAGGAATTTATTATACATATATATATATATATATATATATATATATATATATATATATATATATATATATATATATATATATATATATATATATATATATATATATATATATATATATATATAATTCTCTTCGTGGGGACCATGCGAGACATCACCTAGACGTAAGCTTAACTGACCATAGCGCTACCACCCCCATCCCTACCAGTCTGGTGAGCTGTTTACAATCATAGTGACGGCTATTAGGGGCAGATAGTTTAGTTTTTAAACTTTTTGAAATAAAGGGGAGGTAATAACATGTTCTGCTGGCTCTTTTCAATGTCGTCTGTGAACTGTCGTCACAGACGGCTGCTTTCGCGAAGGCGGGGGTGGGGTGGAGTGGAAAGTTAGGGTGGGGATAATCGTCCTTCACGAGCTACACGAGTCACTGACAGTTCTGTCTCTGACCACTATGCCAATGACAATTATGTCACTGACGATTCTGTCACTGACAATTATGTCACTGACCTTTCTGCCACTGACCATTCTGTCACTGACCACTTTTTCTCTGTCAGGTTATAGGTGACGGTATGCAACAGTTGCTGGATGCTTATGTCGTTGTTTTTGCCATCAACGATTCCTCAACGTTCGAGACAGCCCAGAACCTGGTCCGGTATTTGCGTGTGGACCACGGAACAGACAGGGCCATAGTCCTTGTGGCCAACAAAATTGATCTCGTCCGAAAAAGGAAGGTCAGCGCAGAAGGTGAGGGTCTACATTTAAGTCTAGCACAGGTGGGGGGGGGGGTCTACATTTAAGTCTAGCACAGGTGGGGGGGGGGGTCTACATTTAAGTCTAGCACAGGTGGGGGGGTCTACATTTAAGTCTAGCACAGGTGGGGGTCTATATTTAAGTCTAGCACAGGTGGGGGTCTACATTTAATAGAGGCTAGCACAGGTGGGGGTCTACATTTAATAGAGGCTAGCACAGGTGGGGGGGTCTACATTTAATAGAGGCTAGCACAGGTGGGGGGGTCTACATTTAATAGAGGCTAGCACAGGCGGGGGCCTAAATTTCAAGTTTCAATAATTATCATTAAAAAAGTTTTAAAAAGCCCACGTTTTCTGATTGAACTAAAAAGTAGAAAATAAATGCTATACATCACAATAATGCAAGCGATCACTCTACTATAAGCGATGAAAAACGTGGGGCGCCGAAGTAAAAGTTTTTTAACGGTCATTGTTAATATAAGATGTAAAAGTTATATTACTATTGATTAGATAATACTATTGATTTTTATTAGGGAGCTTGTAGAGAGTCAACAGTATTAAAAACTGTAAGAAAATCACGGCGCCCCACGTTTTTCATCGCTTATAGTAGAGTGATCGCTTGCATTATTGTGATGTATAGCATTTATTTTCTACTTTTTAGTCTTTGTCTGTTTGTTTGCTTTAAAATCTTGCTATCGATTTTATCTTTTCGCATTCACTTTTTTTTTGGGTAAACGAAGACAACTCGTGCCTTGGGTTAGCAATCGTGTGCCCAACCACTCGACCATATCGTCTCCCCCATACTGGCCACCAGTTGTTACGTTCTGGTTGTTTGTACACAAACACCGCGTGACAACTACTCAGTAAGCAAAAAGAGGGAGAGTACCGAACCTTGTTTTCATCAAATTACAATTACTGGGTTATGTCCCTTTTTCCCCACGTTTTTTGTACAATTATATAGCGGTCTAAAATGATCAATAAAATGTTTCCATTGATCAATTTAGTAATAATAACAATTGAATATTCTATTGTCATCGGAAACAAAGCTTTCCTGAAAATTTCAGCGCGCTAGCTAACTGGGAAGTGCCCGAAATTTCGATCGCAAGATTTGATTGGAAAGACGCTAAAGCAAGTTAGAGAAAACGTGGGGAAAATAGTCGAACCGTGTGTGGTTTTTAAAATGACTGACCGCTTCTCATTTGTCCCCAGCGGCCAGACTAGTGGCAGAAACCTACGACTGTAAGTACGCGGAGGTCTCGGCCAGCCTGAATCATCATCTGGACGAGCTGCTGGTCGGGATATTAACACAGATCCGCCTACACATGCGGATACCCTTCACTACCATTTCTTTTCCCGGTAAAGAGCCGCGGGCTGAGAAGACACGCCCAGTTAAAGGCCCTCGGAGCTTCTTCATGAGGCTATTTCGTCGGTACGGCCGGAAGTCGGAGAGGCCCTGCGAAAATCTGCATGTCTTGTAGACGTGACAGACTAGGGTAATCCAAGACCGTCATGATCAAAGTTAACCGGCAAGTTTCTTGGAAAACTTATCAAAGTTAACCGGCAAGTTTCTTGGCAAAACTTATCAAAGTTAACCGGCAAGTTTCTTGGCAAAACTTATCAAAGTTAACCGGCAAGTTTCTTGGCAAAACTTATCAAAGGAAACCAGCAAACATCGAGATAAAACTAAAATTAAACAGCTAGTCTAAGGAAACAACATGCTCAATGTTTGAGAAAAAATCCTAGGAATGAGCCATAACATTAATGTTAGATATTTTAATACTAAATATTCAGATTATGATTTATTTTAATTTTCCCTAAAAATTATTAAATGTCTGGAATAATGTGCGTAATATGGTAAAATGTTTCATATGAGTAATAAGCAAATTATGATATATGTACACACATGCACAAGGAATTTCAGTCGAGTTCAATAAAATATCAGAAACACCTCATTGACAAATATGCAATTCCGGATTCCTAGTTATTAATTTTAGAATGAATCATATTATTTGAAGAATACATAATTTAGAAGCCATATAAAAATAATTAAATTATTGATTAAAATTTTTTAATCTTTTGAAAAAATAAAATATACTGTTTATGGACTCTACTGTCAATGTTTTTGAAAATGTGGAGCGGAAAAAAATGACACTTGGCATTAAGATTCGTGTTTTTTTATTTAGAGATCAGTTTAGTCAAAAGGCATGAGAGCAGAGTTTCTTCCAGGCATCTCTCCGGGGGGGGGGGGGGGAGGCTTTACCCCCCCCCCCCCCCTCCCGAAAAAATTCTACCGCCCCCCCCCTATCGAAATGAAATGTATATAATTTAGATAGAAAATATATACTTTTAACAGTGTCCGCCCCCCCCCCCCCAAAGAAAGTCTACCGCACCCCCCCCCCCAAAATTTCAAGTGCCCCCCCCCCCCCCCCGGAGAAAAACGTCTGGAAGAAACACTGCATGAGAGCAAATACCAGCAGCGTGTCCAGGGTGATTTAACTCTGGAGGTTTTTTTCTGTTATAGTGTTACTCTATATTTAGATCTTGATTACAGCTGAATGTATGCAAAGATTCCCATCAGCTTAACTAATGTGACGGACTATGGTTAAATTAAGTCTAGTTTCATTATTTTTTCTTAGTGCATGCATTGTTTAATTTTTTTTTAAAAATTGATATCATTTTCTTGCTTCGCCCCTTCTGAAAAGCTATCAAAATGTAATGTATATAAAATGTGTGTATGTACATATATACATACATAAACACACACATATATATATATATATATATATATATATATATATATATATATATATATATATATATATATATATATATATATATATATATATATATATATATATATATATATATATATATATATATATATATATATATATATATATATATATATATATATATATATATATATATATATATATATATATATATATATATATATATATATATATATATATCGATCCCGTCCAGCGCGTTGCTGCGGTTTCAGAATAAAGAAAATTCATAGAAACACGTTATTCAATTTATATTTTTATTGAAACGTATAAATCCTTTTAGAGTGAAATTATGATAAAATTCAATGTACATTCTATTGACATAAATGTATCATTATTAATAGTATATTTTTAGACGCGTGATCTCACTCTCTGATTGGTTCATGTTCACATCAATGCAGATTGCGTCATTCGCTGAAACGACAAAAATCAACCCTAACCTAGAGTGACTGATCCAACTTGTTAGATTTACTAGTAATGTATTTTTGGTTACGTCTAAAAGTAATTGCAGATTCCATCCTCCGCAAAGTGAATAAACTACACACGATGGTTTTATAGAGTTACAAAATGTTATTTTTAGAAGTATGATCTTATTTTCAGGGGTCGGCAACCTTTTGGGACAGAAGAGCCAAAAGTTAAAATTTACCAAATATCCCAGTTTTTAAAGAGCCACCAATATTGTTTTTGTCAATATTATGATATTTGATTAGGATTATATATATATATATATATATATATATATATATATATATATATATATATATATATATATATATATATATCTTTATATAATATATCTTTAAATATGAAATAATATTTATTCAATTAAAAACATACGCATGTTTCGCAGAAAAAGTATTAAAGTATTTTATCTAGCTCTCCTAGGATAATAAAATCAGTAATCAAATTATGTAACTTTTCAACAAGTTTTAAGCACGCCACTAGATTTTTATTTGTTAGTTGGCTTCTTTACTTTGTATTATATTCATGCAAGAAAACGCTTGCTCACATGAATATGTTGACCAAACACCAAATTCTTCAGCTTACTGTAGCACCCTGCAAGACTATTCCATGCGTCACATAGTAGGGCATCCAAATCATCTAACTTGCTCTTGAGATCTGTGAACTTACCGCTTCACAAATGTTTGGTTTTCAAATCTAGCAATTTAATTTGAAGCTAACCAGCATCAATTCCAAATAGCTCAAAGTTAATCTCATTTGTTTTTGTGTTGAGAGAATCTACTATGACTATGAACGTCAGAGTACTTGCATTTCTTTTGAATTGCTCAAATATCTCAGTGAACCCATCCTTCATTTTGTTTATAGTAATAGTGAAGTGATTCATGGTAATAGTAGCGTTGGTTTTATCATATTTTTCAAAATAAAGTAATTTACCGCTCTCCGGGTCTTCAACAAAATGAAGTGATTATTTTTCGAAACAATCATCTTCTTCTAACAAGGCATATGATGGGTGTTCCTTTCCATGCAGTTTTAGATTTAGCTCGTTTAATTTCTTTGTGATTTCCACCATGAAGTTGAAAGTTGCAATTTGGGATAGACAAGTTAATAGGGAGTACATTAAAATAGGGCGTAACTAAATATTCTAATGGAATAGCGAGTGTTTATTTTATCGTTTATTACCGAGTGTTGCAGAACAATATTTTTTTTGAGTTTTGAAAACAAAATAAAACAATTATTAATATTTGTGCATGGAGCTAAAGAGCCGCATCGCGACATCAAAAGAGCCGCATGCGGCTCGCGAGCCGCAGGTTGCCGACCCCTGTTATTTTCTAAAAGTTGTTGAGGCGCGACTGTGTCAGATAGCGAAATTTTTAAAAATGTTTCTCTCCCGGATGTATTATAATCTCCTAAGTTTCAAGGCTATCAGATCAAAGTTGTAGTAATGCATAAAGGATACACACACAAACTCACACACACACACACACACGTATAGTCTCATTATATATATATATATATATATATATATATATATATATATATATATATATATATATATATATATATATATATATATATGTGTGTGTAAAAATCAATTCTGTATATGGCGGACAACGGGACGGACGGACTCGTGGTTTCAAAGAAATATAGTAAAAAATATAATTGATCGCAGTATGATTTAACTTAAATGCTCATCATCTAAATTAATGATATAAAAATTAACATTGAAGGTGTTATAAAACAAATGTTATTTTTCAAATTTATAGTGTTAATTGACTGCATGTGCATTAAACAAAATTAAAGAAAATGTATCACACTTCACAAAAATTGTAATTTTGTTTGAAAATTATTTACTTTTAATCCTTTAAAACTCATTACGTCCCATGATAAATTAGGAAAACACAATTACTTCACTTAAAGAAAATTACATCGAGGGAAAAAATTTACTTTTTATTACTTTGTTTAAGTATTGGGGAAAAAAATTATTATATTTTTAGCGTGGATTGATCAAGTGCAATGTGGTAGGTATTTTAAATACTGCATTTTGTTTATTTTATACACTGAACGTACTGTTTACTAATTATTTTTAATCAATAACAGTTTAGAAGCCGCTCCTAAATGTCCTCTATGCTTACTTCTATCTTTCCGTTTACGGATAAGCTTGGGGTATTGTAGTCGTTCATTAAAATGGATCAGACAGGGTTCGGTTTGGCGTCCTGTGCTATCCTGTGAACAATAATTTTGTAAAAACAGCGCGAGAGAGTATGGATAAGAAAGTTTACTATAGTCTTTAACTGAATCAAATCCAGGCGTCCCCCCGGCGCCCCGACAATGTGCTACTTGGCGCCCCGGGCCTTCCCACTTTAGTTATGGCGCCTATGTTTGTTTAAGTGAGTGCTAAAGACTATGAATAAGTTGTAGTACTATAGTCGTTTAATAAGTTGGATCAGGCGGTTCCGCCGGTGCACAAGCATGGGACAATTTTGCGTCACAGGCTAGACTGTTAGCACTTTGCGTTTATGTTTGCATTTAAGTTTGTGTTAATGTTTGCGTTTATTTGCATTATTTTGAGTTATTGTTTGAGTTTTGGTTTGCGTTTGTGTTTTCTTTGTGTTTGGGTTTATGTTTGCGGTTGGGTTTGTGTTTGTGTTTGCGTTTATATTTACGTTTGTAGTTAGGTTTGCGCTTGCGTTTGTTTTCGTTTCCTTTTTTGTTTGCGTTTGCGTTTGTGTTAGTGTTTTCTTTCTGTTAGTGTTTGCTTTTGACTTTCTATTTGTGTTTGCGTTTCTGTTTGCTTTTATGTGTGCGTTTTTTTTTTTTTTTTTTTTTTTTTTGTGTTTGGGTTTTTGTTAACGTTTAGATTGTGGTTTCTTTTTATTCATTTTTGTTTGGGTTTGTGTTTTCTTCGTGTTTGCGTTTGCGTTTGTGGTTGTTTGTGTGTGTCTGTAAACACCATAACTTGAATACCGTTACAGCTAGGTTGATGAAATGTCACATATAATTAGTATAATTATCAAATTTGTAGATATGTAGCAACTTTTCAGCGATAACCGGAGGTGGAACATTTCTACTTTCAATTTTTTTTCAAAAGCCTACGTGAGTACTATTTCAGATAGATTAATCAGATTTCAAATGTAAATAAAAAATATAATGCTCTGCATTCTGTGAAATTGTGAGTAATTTCCGTTGACCGGAAGTAGAAATTTTAACCTATTTCTGATTTCTCGAAAAACGCTTGTGAATTTATAAAGTATTAATAATATTCCGCACTATTATACACATTTTGTTTGGCGATCACTTGGTGCGCAATTCTTTTTTTCTACGAGATTCTATTCTATTTTAAAAAGTTTAAGAAGTTGAAAGTGGATTAAATATATTGTCTATATCCCGAGTTGCCATCCTCCGTAGTGTTAGATAAGAATATTCGAGATTAACTAGATTATAGAAAAACTAGATTATATATATATATATATATATATATATATATATATATATATATATATATATATATATATATATATATATATATATACCAAATCGACCAAGGACATATCAACAATAAACGGAAAAGATCCGTTCAAGACGTGATTGTGATGAGATTAATACTTTATAGTTGCAATGTTAAAACGTAAACGTAAAAGGATTATCATTGCGCAAAAAAAGGAACAGACTTTTTGAAACAAAAAACTAGAGGATTCTCAAATCAAAAGAGCACTCATGCTCTAGTTATAGAATTGATAGAGCTATTTTAAATAGTACACGGATCTAACCATGCATAATTTGAACGAAGTCATAATACAGTCCGCCCAACATGTCTTAGGATACAAAAGAGAAGGACAGAAGAATGGGTCAGCAAAAAACACATGTGACAAAATTTGTGGGGAAAAAAAGACTATTAAGTGTGAGTGGCTGTTGTGTGCATGATGATTATTATTATCTGTTCTAAACTGTTCGTGTTTTTTTGTGTCCAGAATTATGGTGCCGCTGTTTTGGCAGTGTACTCCTAATTGTCCTTTATATTGACTTGTATCTTTCCGTTTTCGGACAAGCTGGGTTTTTTATAGTCGTTCACAAAATTGAATTAGGCGCGTCCGCCGGCGCCCAGTAAGGCTTTGATTTTGTGCGATAGGCTATCCTGTGAGCGCCATGGGTTAGGGTTGGGATTAACCCCAGGCCAGACTGTGAGCACTATGCGTTATGTTTGCACTTAAGTTAGTGTTTATGTTGTTTGCGTTTAGGTTTACGTTTGTATTTGTGTTTAAGTAGGGATGGACAACCAACCAAAACCAAAAGAAAAATACGCAAACATAACGCAAACACAAATACAAACGAAAACACAAACCCGTTTGACTTTTTATTTGTATTTCTGTTTTTTTGTTGAGGGTTTGGGTTTGCGTTTTTGGTTAGGTTTTTGTTAACGTTTAGATTTTGGTTTCTTTTCGTTTGATTTTTTTTTTTGGGTTTGTGTTTTGTTTGTGTTTGTGTTTGCGTTTGTGGTTGAGTTTGTGTTTGCGTTTGTGTTTTCGATTATTTTTGTGTTTGCGTTTGTGTTATGTTTGCGTTTTTTTTTTGTTGGTTGTGATTTAGGTTAATTAAAAAAGTAATAATATATTTTGAAAAATTGAAAGTAGAATAAATTCCACTTCCAGTTATCGGAAATCGTTGAAAAGTGTTTAGGGAACTACAAATCTAAGATAACACTTATATTTGACATTTCATCAACCTAGCTGGGTAGGCACTCAAGTTATCGTGTTTTCACACACACACACACACACACACACACACACACACACACACACACACACAGACATATGGACAAGATTGCAAAACTATGTTTTTCCAACTCAGTGAGGTGTAAAACATCCAGATTTGTCATCGATCGAAACGCCGTGCGAAATTTCGACCATTTCTAACAGACCAATTCGTTTCAAACTTGGCACTTGGGTCAACACCCAATGACAATGCAATCAGAAACAAAATTTGACTTAATTGGAAGCTTCATTAATTTTGTATGAATTAATTGAAATGTCCTAAATAAAGTAGAGTGATCTATTATATAGCACTAATATACGTGCACGATGTGTTCATTTGGTGCACAATTGTTTTTAATTAAGAAACTCTATTAAATTAAAATAAAAAGGGAGTGATCGCCCCTAAACTTTCTCGAATGAATATTCGTATATAACACTACGGGGGATGACAACTCGGGATATAGACATGACTTTTAATCCATTCTAAATAATTAAACTTTATAAAATTGAATAAAATCTCGTAGAAAATATAATTGCACACCAAGTGAACGCCAAATAAAGATGTGTATAATAGTGCGGAATATTATTAATACTTTATAAATTTGTGAGTTTCAATACTTAAATTTTTACTTTCTCGTATTTACGAAATATGACGAGGGTAATACAATGGATATAGAGAGAGAATGACGGAGAGGATACAGTGGAGAGAGAGAATGACGAGGATAATACAGTTGAGAGAGTGAGAGCAAAAATGACAAAGAGAATTCGGTGGAGTTACAGAAAGGTCACAGAAAGGTCACAGAAAGGTCACACCTCTAGTACTTATTCTTGTTATCTTCCCTTTTGCTGTGGAATTTAATAACTTTTAATTCAGTTGTGTAGACTATACTATTGTCTAATCAGTTTACAAATGAGATATGTTGAATTGTTATGGTACACTACATTATCTGCATTAGAAGTGGGTTAAAATTGAGATACATAAGCCAAAACGCAAAAAACTAGGAGGTAAACAAACAAACAAAAAAACAAGCAAACAAAACTTTTAACAAATCACATCAAAATGTTTCATGAATAATTTTTTGTTAAGACAAGGCTTAAAGAGTTTATAACAGTTTGTTTAGTAATAAGTGAGGTTAGTCAACGTGCTCCCATCAGTTAATTAAAACCACAGTTAATCAACGTGCTCCCATCAGCTAATTAAAACCACAGTTAGTCAACGTGCCCCCATCAGCTAATTAAAACCACAGTTAGTCAACGTGCCCCCATCAGCTAATTAAACAATATGAATCATTGTGTTCCCATCAGCTAATTAAAACCACAGTTAGTCTACGTGCTCTCATCAGCTAATTAAACAAGATGAATCATTGTGCTCCCATCAGCTAATTAAAACCACAGTTAGTCAACGTGCCACCATCAGCTAATTAAAACCACAGTTAGTCAACGTGCCCCCATCAGCTAATTAAAACCACAGTTAGTCAACGTGCCCCCATCAGCTAATTAAACAATATGAATCATTGTGTTCCCATCAGCTAATTAAAACCACAGTTAGTCTACGTGCTCTCATCAGCTAATTAAACAAGATGAATCATTGTGCTCCCATCAGCTAATTAAAACCACAGTTTGTCAACGTGCCCCAATCAGCTAATTAAACAAGATGAATCATTGTGCTCACATCAGCTAATTAAAACCGCAGCTAGTCAACGTTCCGCCAATTATTGCAAACATTCAACAGTTGAAAGGAAGCACAAACTAATGTTTTCCTACCCTCACCCCTTCCATAGCTACCCTTACTAAAAAACCATCTTTAGTTTTGCACATAGTCGAGCTGTTATCTATGCCATACGTGTTAGTTTAGGTCATACTTGAGTGCAATCTATTGGAATTGACACGTGAAGAGGTCGTATTGAACAGATCTTGACACAAATAGAATTATGTGGATTTAGCTTGTCTGTGTTTTTGTCTGTCTGTTTGTCGTTATATGTGTGGTTATATGTGATTCACCACATACACCTTATATCAAAACCATTCATAAAGCTCTACATAACACAGCATGCTTAAAGCAGACAAAACTCTACATAACACAGCATGCTTAAAGCAGACAAAACTCTACATAACACAGCATGCTTAAAGCAGACAAAACTCTACATAACACAGCATTCTTAAAGCAGACAAAGCTCTACATAACACAGCATGCTTAAAGCAGACAAAACTCTACATAACACAGCATGCTTAAAGCAGACAAAGCTCTACATAACACAGCATGCTTAAAGCAGACAAAACTCTACATAACACAGCATGCTTAAAGCAGACAAAACTCTACATAACACAGCATGCTTAAAGCAGACAAAACTCTACATAACACAGCATGCTTAAAGCAGACAAAGCTCTACATAACACAGCATGCTTAAAGCAGACAAAGCTCTACATAACACAGTATGCTTAAAGCAGACAAAACTCTACATAACACAGCATGCTTAAAGCAGACAAAGCTCTACATAACACAGCATGCTTAAAGCAGACAAAGCTCTACATAACACAGCATGCTTAAAGCAGACAAAACTCTACATAACACAGCATGCTTAAAGCAGACAAAACTCTACATAACACAGCATGCTTAAAGCAGACAAAACTCTACATAACACAGCATGCTTAAAGCAGACACACATTTACTTATTCTATCTAAAATTACACACCAGTGGCATCGCTGTCTACAGATAATACTAAAGACGTCCACAGATAATACTAACGATGTCCACAGATAATACTAACGATGTCCACAGATAATACTAACGATAACGATGTCCACAGATAATACTAATGATGTCCACAGATAATACTAACGATGTCCACAGATAATACTAACGATGTCCACAGATAATACTAACGATGTCCACAGATAATACTAACGATGTCCACAGATAATACTAACGATGTCCACAGATAATACTAACGATGTCCACAGATAATACTAACGATGTCCACAGATAATACTAACGATGTCCACAGATAATACTAACGATGTCCACAGATAATACTAACGATGTCCACAGATAATACTAACGATGTCCACAGATAATACTAACGATGTCCACAGATAATACTAACGATGTCCACAGATAATACTAACGATGTCCACAGATAATACTAACGATGTTCACCAATAATCTGTTAGAAATACAGCTGGATGTAGTATTGTTTTCTATATCGTAATGGTGTGTCGTCTCCCCACACCCCCCCCCTCCCCACAACCGTGTTGAGATTTGTCAAATTTTCTCTTAATTAAAAGACTTTTAAACGCGATTTAATTATTATTTAACTAGAATGATCGTTTGTTCCTATATATATTTTTCTATTTTTGCATTGGTGTCGTACCCCACCCTCGCGACTACTCTGCATCACACACCATGCTTAAAGCAGACACCATCCTACAGTACACACAATCTACTGCTGACTCGAAGCTTTAAGCATTTTCTGCAGCACGAACCATCCTTCAACTACCATCATGCAAAAACCTTTATCTACACACCTCCACGGTCTATATACCAGCACATCTCTGACATTAAATCTCCTCAAAATTTAAACCCTAAACCTAATCATAAACCTTGACTATCCCCACCTAATGTCCTTACACCCCCACCCACCCTTACACTTCTATCATCTTTACACCTCTATAATCCTTACTATAATCCCTATCATCTTTACACCTCTATAATCCTTACTATAATCCCTATCATCTTTAGACCTCTATAATCCTTACGCCCATATCATCTTTACACATCTATCATATTTATACCTCTATCCTTATATTCTTACCATCAATACGCCGCTACCATCTTTACACGGTTCGTCTAACTTCTTATCAGATACCTGAATAGTGTAATCACGTGACAATCTCTTCAAAGTACTGGCATTTGGCCAGCTGATTTTGTTAAAAACCAAAGCAGTCAAAATGTAGCTCAGAATTTTTTGAACACTGTGAGTAACTGCAGAATTTCTCTCGCTGATTATTTTAATTAAAACTATGACGTCACATAAAACAGACAGAAGTCAGGTGAGCTATATATCCAAATCAAAAGTTGAATATAAACCATATGCTATTAATACTTCAGTATAAATATGTCACATGATATTAAATACCAAACAAAGAGTATCAAAACTTAAAAACTTTGATATCAAAACTTAAATACAGAATGTTGCCTATGCTACAACCGAACGGTACTCAAGTTATCGTGTCACACACACACATACACACACACAACCACACACACACACACACATACACACACACACACACAACCACACACACACACACACACAAACACACACACACACACACACACACACACATACACACACACACAACCACGCGGACGAAATTGTAAAGCCAGTTTTTTCCGACTCGACTAATCGTAAAACGCCGAAACTTAGGTAAATCTTTAATTAGAATTTTTAACCAATTAAAATAAGACCCCTACACTCCGTATATAATGAAGTACTGAGGTGTAAAGCGATGAAAACTGTCAAAATGTCCTATGATTTATGTGCATGTTTCCAATACTTCCTCCACATACGATAAAGTGTGGCATCAAACAGTGTTGATGAATAAAAACGAATGAATGAACGATAACATTTCAGTGTGAGACTGAAAGGATGAATAAAAACGAATGAATGAACGATAACATTTCATCGTGAGACTGAAAGGATGAATAAAAACGAATGAATGAACGATAACATTTCAGTGTGAGACTGAAAGGATGAATAAAAGCAAATGAATGAACGATAACATTTCAGTGTGAGACTGAAAGGATGAATAAAAACGAATGAATGAACGATAACATTTCAGTGTGAGACTGAAAGGATGAATAAAAACGAATTAATGAACGATAACATTTCAGTGTGAGACTGAAAGTAGCAACCATATGGAGGACCAGGACCAAGGTGTTGTGGAGGACGAGGTGGACTTGTCCTGTGGTGTGGGTAGGTTCAGGACCCACGCACTCGGCACCTGCTTCTCTAACCTCTACGTCTTCTCTGTATTGGCTGGAATCTCAGGCATGTTCGGGGTCATGTCGACCCGGATCGTATCTGTACAGGTAGGTCAAATGTCAGATATCGGTCTAATAGTCACATGTAGGTCAAATGTCAGAGGTCGGTCTAATGTTCACATGTAGGTCAAATGTCAGAGGTCGTCTAATGTCACATGTAGGTCAAATGTCAGAGGTCGGTCTAATGTCACAGGTATGTTTAATATCACAGGTAGGTTTAATGTCGCAGGTAGCTATGTGTATGCGTATGTACATGTACATCTACACATGCATTCGCGTTCATGTATATCTATATATACATATACACGTACGTGTACGGTTATATGTATATAAATATGTAGCGTCTGTTAGTGTGATTTGTGGGCGCAAATTTTCTTGCTATGTAAAATGAACCGTTGACAGCTGGAGTCCCTGGAAAGACAGTTCAATATCGACAACTCTCAGGCCGGCTTGTTTGAGACGTCCGCTAAAATTGGTCTACTCTCCACCGTCCTGTTTGCTGGCCATTTCACGAGGGTAAGTCTGGAACCAGGATCACAACCATTCAAAAATAACTCAAACACTTTAATAGCATAACCATTTAGTACTCGTAATTCTTTTTCATACATCTAATCACTCAAAATATAAGAAAATAAACCGGGAGTGATCTCCCCTAAACTTTCTCGAATATTCTTATATAAAGCAACAGGGGCTGGGAACTCGGGATATAGTTATGATTTTTAATCCATTTTAAATACTTAACTTTTTAAAATATAATGGAATCTCATAGAAAAAAGAATTGCGCACCAAGCGAACGCCGAATAAAGATGTGTATAATAGTGCGGAATATAGTTATGATTTTTAATCCATTTTAAATACTTAAACTTTTTAAAATAGAATAGAATCTCATAGAAAAAGAATTGCGCACCAAGTGAACGCAGAATAAAGATGTGTATAATAGTGCGGAATATTATTAGTACTTTATAAATTCACATGCGTTTTTGAGAAAGGGGAAATAGTGAAAATTACTACTTCCGTTCAACGGAAATTACTCAAAATTTGACAGAAGGTAGAGAATTAGATTTTTTACTTATATGTGAAATTTCCGTTATCTATCTGAAATACCACTCAAGTTATACGCTTTTGAAAAGATCAAATTAGAACAAGTTCCACTTCCGGTTATTGGAAATCGCTCAAAAGTTGATACGGATCTACGATTTTGATATAATGCTTATATATGAAATTTCATCAACCTAGCTGTAACGGTACTCAAGTTATCGTGCCTAGAGAGGAAGAGGGCTTCTGCTAGGCGCGCTTACAGCTTGGTGTTTCCTATGGTCTCCAATAGTTTTATATATATATAGATAATGCAAAGAAAGGAAGAATTGATGTTTACCTATCTAAATACTACTAAAACTCAACTTTATTTACATGTTTGAATATTTATTTGTTTGTCTGATTTGCTACTGGAGAGAATCTGCACTATGTGTAGAGCTGTAAAAGAGTACGTAGGTAGAGAACAATTTTTGTTTTTTAGACAGACTGTTAATCACACATTTATTTAAAGACGTTAATTAATTTATTGATTTATTCATTGGTAGATTAAAACCACTTTAATTTTAAAAGTTTAGAAAAACGTCACATGATTTGTTTACTTTTTGTACAATAAATGGCGGCTCAAATACAAGATTTCGTATCTTATTCAGATCTTTAACGCGTTATAAAGCTAATTTTCTGTCGGTTATAACTTTAACAATACATTCGTTTGCTGTTTTTATTACGTTCCAACACTTATATTAATTTTCAACTGTCTTTTTCATTTAGTTTTAAAATAAATTTCTCTAGCTCTACAATCTTTCTAAGAAAGTTATTTATAGATAAGGAGACTCAAAGTATTATTATATAGCACAAAAAACATCAGTGATGTCACGAGCTAAGTTGTTAGTGTAATAGGCTTTCATGCGGGTAGTACGGGTTCTAGACACATCACGTCAATGTTAAAATTTCAATTTTTTTTTAGATGTGAATGATAAAGTTGCCTATCTGAACTTGGCGGGATACAGGGCAGGTGAAGTAGAGTTCATATGTTTCTTTGTCCTAAGTATATGAAGGGATAGTGTGGTCAGAGACATGCTCGGCCGGAATCGTTTTTTTAAACGATAAAAACATGTTGTCTGAGACTTGGCGGAACACTGGGCAGGTGAAATAGACTTGAGTACATCACCTGTGACGTCAGTATATGAAGGGATAGTGTGGTCAGACCTATGCTCAGCCGAAGTCGGTGTTTTTAAAAGATAAAAAACGTCTTTTTAAATGTGGGGTCTGGTTTTTTGTGACGATAAGTGACAGACGTGATGTCATTAATGGATGACTCCCGAAACCCACAGTTATCCAAGGGATGACTGGTAAGTCTAGTAGTATCTATAGCGATGTCACCTAAGGTAACATCGCCACTTTTATTCACGTCTTTTGCCATATTTACATCAGTAACTTGCCATCACATCGTCGCTATCTTAACACATTGTTCGCTATTTTCACAAAAGTCCCCTTTATTCACATCTTTTGCTATCTTCACATGTCTCCTTTATTCACATTGTTCATTATACATTTTTTAATCTAGAGACACCTGTTTATAAACGTATACGTCTTGTATTGTTTATTTACTATTTTTGTGTGATTTGCACCATATTCGATTTTCCATGCGAGTACTATGTAAAAATGTCCAGACTTAAATGTGCTAGTGTCCTAGTGGAATAAATACGTGTGCCTCTTCCCAAAGAAATACCACATCCCTGTAACTATAGCTGTGGCGGGAATCATTCAAGGCCTGGCTTTAATGGCTCCAGCTCTCCTACAGTTTGCAGACCCTTACACTTTGACAGAATTGTGAGTATATTGTGTTAGTCACATCAACTATGCGTACATTTTGACAGAATTGTGCGTACATTGTATTAGTCGCACCAACTATGCGTAGACCTACACTGAATTGGTGACGTAATTTTTTTATTCGTTAAATTGAATTAGTAGCTTACTTTTGAATTATTCAATCGAATTGGCTGAATAATATATCTATATTCTACTTAAATTAATTTTTTTTTTTTAAAGTTTGTATATTTATTTATTTAGTTTGTCTTTAGGTATTTAGACAAGTTAATTAATTTATTGATATATGCATTTGTAGAAACACCCCTTTAATTATAAAACTTCATAACAAAAACTTATTTTTTTACAAAAGAAAAGTTAAAACTTTCCCCGTCTTAAAACTTATACCGAAAACCAAACTTAATGGCCAAACCAAAAAATGTTAGTTAAAAAGAAAAACATACAACAATAAGTAATACACAATAAGCAGTTGAGTCTCTTTATTAAACTATTTAATCCTTAAATCTAATATATAAAGCTCAGTTCTGTATGTAATGCATTTGTATGTCGTTGGAAGTGTACGAATTTAAGTGTTAGAAAATTATCGTGCGCATTTGTCTAAATTTATGAGCTAAAAAATTACCATTGAAAGTGTTGGGAAATCATTTTCATTTTTCAAATTACAATAATAATTGTCGGCATGTTCATTAAACACAAGTTTAAAAAAAAATCATCTTTTACAAAAATTCTAATTATGTCTTTATTTAGTCCTATAGCACTTACTTCCCTTTGATAAATTAGGAAAACAAAATTACTTCCCTTTATAAAACCATCGCATTAGTCGAAAATAATTTACTTTTTAATTACTTTGTTTTGGTGTTGGGAAAAAAAAATAATTACATAATTAGCGGGGATTGATCAAGTGCAAATGTTGTAGGTATTTTACGGATAAGCTTGGAGTATTAAAATTGTTCATCAAATTGAAACAGGCGCGTTCGTTTAAGTGAGTGCAAAAGACTATGAATAAGTTGGGGTACTATAGTCGTTCATTAAGCTAAAACAGGTGATTCCGCCCCGGGCGTTTATGTTCGCGTTAGTGTTTTCTTTGTGTTTAGGTGGGTTTGCGTTAGTGGTTGCGTTTTGATTTGGTTCGTTTTTGTTCTTTCTTTTTTCTTTTTTGTTTGTGTTTCTTTGTTTGGGTTTGTATTTGTGTTTTTGGTTGGTTTTGCGTTTGGATTTGGTTTGTTTTCGTTTGCTTTTTCGTTGTTGTTTTTTTTTTTTTGGTATTGGTGTTTGTGGTTGGGTTTGTTGTTAGGTTTTTGTTTTCGTTTGTATTTGTAATTGTGTTAGCGTTATGTTTGCGTTTTGTTGTTTTGGTTGGTTGTGGTTTGGGTGGGCAATGCCGGGTTTAGGATGATTACTAAACACACAGGTAATGGTCTTTAACAGAAAGGTTTTTCACAGAAGCCAGAGCAGGGCCTGGCCGGGACGGCTAGTATTTTATAAAAATCATTGCTATTAAGCTTCACATATAATCTAATTCGAGAATACAAGGAATTTATCTACATCTAGACTAGACCTAGATCTAGAACTACAGGCCTAAACCATTTTTCTTATGTCCGTAGATTCTAGTTCTAGCTGTATCTGATTCAAGATCTAGAATCTAGGCCGATAATGAGTTTCTTTACCAAACCATTTCAAGCCTTAATTATTTATATAAAATATTTGTTTAGCAATTGAATTGGCTAAATTAGGATATAATTTAAAATAATATTCCCCAAACTTAACTTCCTTACATGGCTCTCAGTCAAATGTAAGTCAATACATTTTCAGCTAAATTTCAGCTAGTATTTTTTTTTTATTTTACCTCATAGACATTGCACATTAGGAAACATCAACACACGCGATTGATTCTAATTTATTATTATTAGTTTGCCGTTAGCTTTAATAATCTATTCATTTTTGTTCAAATGGGCTCAAAAATATTGTAGAAAGAAATCGATGTTTTAAAAAAATAAAAACATGTAAGCTGAGATGTGACGCATGCTCAGCCGAAATCGGTGTTTTAAAAGACGATTATGTAGTGTGAGGTGTGACTTCTCTTTAAAATGTGAATCTGACTTTTTGTGACGATGTGTGACAGTGGGGAGGGGAGGTAAAAAGATAAAAAGTCTTCTAATAAACTGGATGCTCTTATTTTAATTAAACAGAGAAAACACAAGCGGTTCTGGTGAGTCGGATAATAGCCAATATTTATGTGACGTCAGCTTTGATATCAACAATAAAACATCGCAATACAATCAATCAGGACAGGTAAGTAAAATAAATCGGGAGTGATCTCCCCTAAACTTTCTCGAATATTGTTATTTAAAGCAACAGGGGATGGGAACTCGGGATATAGACATGATTTTTAACCCATTTTAAATACTTAAACTTTTTAAAATAGACTGAAATCTCGTAGAAAAAAAAAGAATTGCACACCAAGTGAACACCACATAAAATATGAATAATAGGGCGGAATATTATTAGTACTTTATAAATGTACATTCGTTTTTTGAGAAATCGGAAATAGCGTAAATTACTACTTCCAGTACTTACAAAAACTGTATGAAGTTTAAAAACCAACGCTGTATATATGCGTGTGTGTTAAACAAAAAGTAGATGAAGTTTTAAAACCAACACTGTGAATGTGCGTGTGTGTGTGTGTGTGTGTTGAACAAAAACTGAAGTTTTAAACCAACGCTTTGTATGTGTGTGTGTTGAACAGTGACAGTGTAGAGACCAAAACTGGGCATTACAATTCTGTCCGTATGTGTGTGTGTGAGTGTGTGGGTGTGGGTGTTTCTGTAAACAAGATAACTTGAGTACAGTTATATCTAGATAGATCAAATTTCATGTATAAGTATTATATCAAATTTGTAGTTGTGTATCTACTTTTAAGCTGTTACCGATAACCGGAAGTGGGACTTATTCTGCTTTTAGTTTTTCAAAAGCCTATAATTTGAGCGCTCTTTCAGATAGATAACCGAAATTTCACATATAAGTAAATTATCTAATTGTCTGCCTTCTGTCAAATTTCGAGTAATTTCCGTTGACCGGAAGTAGTAATTTACGCTATTTCCGAATTCTCAAAAGACGCTTATGAATGTATACAGTTCTAATAATATTCCGCACTATTATATACAGATTGTTTGGCGTTCACTTGGTGCGCAATTCTTTTTTCTACGAGATTATATTCTATTTAAAAAGTTTTTTTTAAAAATTGATTAAAATCATGTCTATATCCCGAGTTGCCATCCCCCTTAGTGTTATATAATAATACGAGCCGACCCGCGGCATATCATACGCCGCTATTTAGTTGTTTTATTTTCTATTTTTCAGTAATTCATAATTTGTGAATTCGACAATATCAATGCTGCCACTGAAAATATTTGCTTTAAAACACTATCAGTAGGTCGTTAAGGACGATACTACCCCCACCCTCCTTTCCCCCTACCCCACCCTCCTTTCCCCCTACCCCCACCCTCCTTTCCCCCAACCTCTACCCTACAACCCCCCCGTGAAAGCAGCCTCCTATTAGTTACCTTCCCTAAGTTTAAAATCGTTTCAAACTAAATTATCTGCCCCTAGTAGCCGTCACTAAACCCGGCTCTACGATTGTAAACATTTAGCGTGAACCAAAGCTCACCTGACCATGTAGGGGTGGGGTGGTAGGGAGCGCGCTTACAGCTTGTTTTCTAGCGTTTCCAAGAAGAGAATTTTATATATATATATATATATATATATATCGATTCGAGAAAGTTTATGGGAGATCACTCTCGGTTTATTTACTTTTTGTTTTGTTTTGTATTTATAGCACATTTTTAGAAAGAGTAGTTGAGATGAGATTCTCATGCATTGTTTCTTCCAGACCTTTTTCTCCGGGCTGGGGGGGGGGGTCGCTTGATATTTTCGGGAGGGGGGGGCGGATACTGGTAAAAGTATATATTTTTTCTATATAAATCCCATTTCGTTCTGGGGGACGGGGGGGGGGGGGGGGGTAGATGCCTGGAAGAAACTCTGCACAGTTGCAGACACAAATTAAACTTTATTTAGTGTGCTATTTTACTGACCAATATAATTTTCTTTTCCTAATTTTGCAAATATAACTTTTTCAAAACTGGCATTATACTTGATTGCATTAATGACTTGATCTAGATATTTCTTAAGATAAGAGAGACAAAGATCATTTGCATTGCCCAAATAACTGGTACTAATGACTAGTTAAATTTAGAAATGGTTATAAAAGATTAAAGCAAATCTAATACCAATAAAGCTAGTATTTAATTTGTGTTAAGTTTAAAATGGTTAAGCTAGTATTATAAATTGTACATATGTTAAATTTGAAACGGATCAGCTAGTATTATAACTTGTATCTGTGTTAAGTTTAAAATGGATACGTTAATATTATAACTTGTATTTGTATTGAGTTAAAAATGGATAAGCTAGTATTATAAATTGTATTAGTGTTAAGTTTAAAATGGATAACCTAGTATTAAAAATTGTATTTTGTTGAGTTTAAAATGGATAACCTAGTATTATAAATTGTATTTGTGTTGAGTTTAAAAGATTTGTTAGCCCAGCTAATGTATGCTACTGTCGGACTGTGTCAATGTTGGTCACTCTCGGTCAACTGACATTTTCTCCAGACGAACACCCTGGCGTTCGCTGTACTACTCTCCACGCTGACCGTCAAAGGAGTGACCGATTCGTTTCACGCCTACTTCCTCCCTACAGTTTACATGGACGACAACATGTTAGACAAGACCAGAACGGCGTTTTTTTTTAGGTCAGTCTCATTTTTGCCTTTGGTAAGTCTTTTGTTTTGTCCTAAATTAGTTTCATTACTGTCTTAAACTAACCTAAACTATTATTCTGTTGGCTTTTAATTTGAATGTTCTAAACTCAGGAATTCGCTTCTTTATCAACGGCTTGTCTGGGCCAATAGGAACAGAGATTAGTGGTCTGACCACCAGGATTCCAATTGACTTAAAGGGTACGTCAGTAATTTGTTGCGATGTTCGAGTGGACATAGGACGACCCTGGGGTTGGGTGGGGAAATAACAAGCATTAAACACAAACACTTCTCGGGGTCAAAGTACAATTGATGGGGCAGAACAACACCAGGTCGTGGGGGTGGGGGGTGGGGGGGGGGGGTAGGCTGGTAGTGGATCTTGTAGCTGGTGGGGGGTGGGCTGGTAGTGGATCTTCTAGCTGGTGGGGTGGGGTGGGCTGGTAGTGGATCTTCTAGCTGGTGGGGTGGGGTGTGGGCTGGTAGTGGATCTTGTAGCTGGTGGGGTGGGGGGGGGGGTGGGCTGGTAGTGGATCTTTTAGCTGATGGGGTGGGGGTGGGCTGGTAGTGGATCTTCTAGCTGGTGGGGAGGGGTGGGCTGGTAGTGGATCTTCTAGCTGGTGGGGTGGGGTGGGCTGGTAGTGGATCTTCTAGCTGGTGGGGAGGGGTGGGCTGTTAGTGGATCTTCTAGCTGGTGGGGAGGGGTGGGCTGGTAGTGGATCTTCTAGCTGGTGGGGTGGGGTGGGCTGGTAGTGGATCTTCTAGCTGGTGGGGAGGGGTGGGCTGGTAGTGGATCTTCTAGCTGGTGGGGTGGGGTGGGCTGGTAGTGGATCTTCTAGCTGGTGGGGTGGGGTGGGCTGGTAGTGGATCTTCTAGCTGGTGGGGAGGGGTGGGCTGTTAGTGGATCTTCTAGCTGGTGGGGAGGGGTGGGCTGGTAGTGGATCTTCTAGCTGGTAGGGAGGGGTGGGCTGGTAGTGGATCTTCTAGCTGGTAGGGAGGGGTGGGCTGGTAGTGGATCTTCTAGCTGGTAGGGAGGGGTGGGCTGGTAGTGGATCTTCTAGCTGGTAGGGAGGGGTGGGCTGGTAGTGGATCTTCTAGCTGGTGGGGGGTGGGCTGGTAGTGGATCTTGTAGCTGGTGGGGTGGGGGGGGGGTGGGCTGGTAGTGGATCTTCTAGCTGGTGGGGAGGGGTGGGCTGGTAGTGGATCTTCTAGCTGGTGGGGTGGGGGGTGGGCTGGTAGTGGATCGTCTAGCTGGTGGGGTGGGGGGTGGGCTGGTAGTGGATCTTGTAGCTGTTGGGGGGGCGGGGGGCGGGCTGGTAGTGGATCTTGTTGCTGTTGGGGGGGGCTGATAGTGGATCTTCTAGCTGTTGGGGGGAGGGGCTGGTAGTGGATCTTGCAGCTGAGTGGATGGGCTGGTAGTGGATCGCACCAGTTAACACCAAAGGATTGCGACGGAATCGAAAATGCAAATTTTTTGGAGGGGGTTTGGGATGACACCAAATCAACTTAGGACGTTATTCTATGTATTCCCATTTGAGTCGAGACTATTACTAGTAGTATATGAGGTCACTTTTGGACCGCTGGAGCAGGCGGATGGTGAGGGTAAGGGTGAGGGTGAGCAAAGGATATATAGGAAAATACCCCCCGCCTGGCGCAGCCGGCGGGACAATAACATATAGTAAAATACTCACCCACCAGGGTGAGGCGGAGGAGCCGTATGCGCAATGACATATAGCAAAATACTCCCTGGCGGAGGGTGAATACATCGACATATAGTAAAATGCTACGACAACTGGCGGAGCAGGTGGGTGAGGGTTAGACATGTTATATAGTAAAATACTACGCCAACTGGCGCAGCAGGATGGTGAGGGTGAAGGGTGCGGATGCGAAATGAAAGAAATGTCGCGTGTCTTCCCTAATAGAGAAACGAGAGGAAAGATAACTGTTCTAAAATTAGAACAGATTTGTTTACAGCCACGAGTATCGTCCCTTGTGAAAAAATTCGCGTCAGAATCCTTAACTAAACATTCAATTTCTTTAACAAGTTAAAAAATAATTTAGGAAGACAAGGGTTAACAACATTAGACCCCACCGTTTTTGTTTTCTGTGACGACAAGGCACAATACACTTTTGTATTTTATGTCTCAAGTAGAGGGGTGGGATATTTTTTCTTTGTAAGCGTGTTGTAAAAAATGGGTAGAGGAGGCGATTACTAAGTAAGAGGGGAGAGAACGTGGCTTGCATCGCGATATTTGAAAACAGGGTGATGTTTAACCACAACTAAAAAAAGACAATGAAACTAGAAGGAAGACGAATATATATATCTTAGTCTTGCAGCAGATTACCTTCCCATGTTCGCTTTAGTATTACAGTTTTCATCAAACGTCTTTTTGACTTGCACTTCTTTAATTTAAGAAGGTTTACTTATACATAAGACATTAAATCTAATTACAATTTTTTATTTTTACCACTCAATGTATTTTGTTTTTCTATATCTTGCATTGTCATCTTAATTTTTTATCACCTTAGTAAAAATTTGCTTAAGATTATAAACTTCAAGGTTTAAAAAAAAACAACGTTATAGTACGACGTGTCAAAGGACACACCGTTTAAAATGTCTACATTTAAGCTTCACCAAAATAATGACGTGTAAAAGCTAAATATGGTATGACCTTAGCATACATAACATTCAATCAAATCAATCTAAAGTACAAATCAATAATTTTGATTGATTAAGGGCTGGGTGAGTTATTTTTATCACTATTCGCCCTTCCCCTTCCCTTTGTCCGCAACCCCTTCCCCCTTCTCCCATCCCCTAAGCTCAATACCAACCGATAGATAAACAGTTCGTACCACTACCCACACTATACCTATTCCATTAAAGAGACAAAGGAAGTATGACAAAGTAACAAACCTACATTTATCTACATTCAATTAATGTCACAACCCCTAGACACTACAACAGATTGGGATACATAACTTGTAGGCACCACTCCTCAATGAATACCACATGCGCCCTAGCCATTGTCCGCCACCCTCGCCCCCATCCCTAAACACATTAACAACCGATAAACAGACCGTACCTCTACCAACACTATTCCTTGGACAAAGGACGTATGACAAAGTAACAGACAAACATTTATCCGCCTTCGTTTACTGTCACAAATGACAACGTTCCCATCCAAACTCGTGGCTGTAAACAAGTCTGTTCTAATTTTAGAACAGTTATCTTTCCTCTCGTTTCTCTATTAGGGAAGACACGCGACACGACTTTTATAATGTAAACAAGCGTGCACGAGGTGCACTTAAAATAAACCCCGTTTCGAAAATGACAACGGGATGGTGACACTTTTTGAAAAACACTCTTTCATGTAAATAAAATAAGGCTCGCTTTTGTTGTCGCCATGATAATTTATACCTATAAGTTCTCTCCGCCTTAACCGACCTAGTATGAATTTCGCGCGCGCGTGTGTGTGTGTGTGTGTGTGTGTGTGTACATGTATCTCAAAAAAGGGTATCATGTCAACACCTGGGCAACAAGTCATAGTCAAAAAGGTCTAATTCATTACAGATCTATAGGAAACCCCTCTTTACATGTACTTACGTTAGGGCAAGTCAACTCGGTTGAATCAAAAAAATGTATTTAAATGTATAGAGTTATAGAACTTTAACAGCTGATGAAAAAATATAATAAAACATTAAAATTAAAATCCACCTCCTCACCCACCTCACTTAGGTGGTGGCATATTTTACTATATATCCTTTACTCCTACTCGTGTTCGCCCTTCACCCCCCTTCTCCCCCTTCACCCACCTGTTCACCCTTCATCCACCTGCTCACCCCCCTCACCCGCCTGCTCACTTCCCTCACCCATGTTACTATAATCGAATATGTATTGAACACTTGTTAAGTTTATCTGTCTCAGGGTGGCCGGTTGGTACTCAGATCAAAAGAAAATCGGAACGGTATGATATGTGAACATAGTTAAAGGCCAGATGTAGTCTAATGAAAAAAAAACCGAGAGCCACTGCTAAGTGTGGCGCCCAACACACGAGGTCGACGCGGGTCGATCAATATTATTTCTTTACTCGATCAAAAACCTATGACACTGTACGTATAACTGTAAGTGGAAAGTGTAGCACCAGCTGTTGCATAATGACCTAAGTGCGTCGCGGATACCCCCTGTGGTGTTCGCTTCAGTGAACCCGACATTAATCAATGGTGCGTGACAAATTTAATTAGGTGGGCTATCATGTTGATGTTGGCCCCGTGGCTGCGATCGAGAAAACCCATTAATCACTGGGTGGTACCTGTAAAAAACGCGCAGCGCCGGGAAAACCTCACTAGTAGATCGATAAGTAACAGCTGTGGTTAACGAGTCGCTTCAGTGAACCTGACAAGAAAACTACACGCGCGGGTCAATAAGTAACAGCTGTCGCTAAGGACTAATAGCTGGCGTTAAATGGATGCTTGTAGTCGAGAGAAAGAATTTTCTACTTTTGTATACGTTAGCGTTGTGTTGGAGAATATAAAAATTAAAATCAAACTAATTAAAATGAATTTCAAACAAATAAACAATAAGTAAACAACAATTAAACAAAATAAACAAATATAAAAATTTAAAATTTAAAAATAATAATTTTAAAAATTTAAAAATTTAAAAATAATAATAAAATACATACTTAAAATAAAACTAAAATTAAAAAATAAAATTTAAAAAATTAAAATCCAATTACGTAACTAGTTAATAATAATTAAACTAATTAAAAAATTAGAATTTAAAAAAATAAACTAATTAAAAATAAACAAACAAAATACAAATAAATAATCAACTTACGTAACTCGTTAATAAAAATTAATAAAAATTTTATAATTTAAAAAATTAAAATCAAACTAATTAAAAAACTCATTAAAATTACGTAACTAGATCACCGATGGTGATTACGTAACTAGGTCACCTATGAGGATTACGTCATAAGGTCACCGGTGATTACGTCACAAGGTCACCGGTGGTGACCCACCCTCACCCTCCGCCAACGGCAGGTGGGGGAGTATTTTGCTATATGTCATTGCGCATCGGCACCCTTCACCCTCACCATCCTGCTGCGCCAGTTGGCGTAGTATTTTACTATATAACATGTCTAACCCTCACCCACCTGCTCCGCCAGTTGTCGTAGTATTTTACTATATGTCGATGTACCTCACCCTCCGCCATGGAGTATTTTGCTATATGTCATTGCGCATCCGGCTCCTCCGCCTCACCCTGGTGGGTGAGTATTTTACTATGTTATTGTCCCGCCGGCTGCGCCAGGCAATGAGTATTTTCCTATATATCCTTTGCTCACCCTCACCCTCACCCTCACCATGCGCCTGCGCCAGTGCCTGCGCCTGCGGTCCAAAAGTGACCTAATATACTACTATTACTATGGCCAGTTTGGTTAGGATTGCTTGATTGGTTAGTGTTAGGGTTAGTGTTGGCTGTTTGGGTTATGGTTTCTTGGTTGGTTAGTGTTAGGGCTAGGGTTGCTTAGTTGGGTTATGGTTGTTTGGTTGGTAGGTTAGTGAGGTTTTTTTTATCTGTGTAGATACTGAGATGGACCCAAAAGATGGACGATTTATTGCTGCCTGGTGGTTGCCATTCCTCCTGTTTGGGGCTGGGACTATTCTCTCTTCCATTCCTCTCCTTCTCTTCCCTCGGACGTTGGTCAGCAGAAGTCAGAAAGAAAAAGCGTTGAAAATGGCCGCCGTTGTTTTCATTCAACCAAATGCAGAGCGCCAGACCGACGATCTACAAGGGGCTCAAGTGATCAATACGTCGTTTCAAGAGTAAGTCATTCGTGGTACCAGCAATTCAAGATTAAGTCACTCATAGTACCCGCAATTTAAGTCACTCATAGTACCCGCAATTAAACAGTAAGTCACTCATAGTACCCGCAATTCAAGATTAAGTCACTCATAGTACCCGCAATTCAAGATTAAGTCACTCATAGTACCCGCAATTCAAGATTAAGTCACTCATAGTACCCGCAATTTAAGTCACTAATAGTACCCGCAATTAAACAGTAAGTCACTCATAGCACCCGCAATACAAGATAAAATCATTCATAGTACCCGTATTTCAAGATTAAATCAATTCTGACACCTATTTCCTTATTAACATTGTATTAAAACGGTTAAAATTTTCTGATTTTGAAATATTTTTTACATTGTTGCAATAATTACACTATCTTTTATATAGTTTTTTAAACAATTGTAGTTATCAGAGTTTCTTCCAGGCCTCTCTTAGGGGGGGGGTGGGGAGAAATTTAAAATGTAAGTAACAGATCTAATTTTCTTCCTTCTATCAATATTTGAATAATTTCTGTTGACCGAAAGTAGTAATTTACGCTATTTCTAATTTCTTTAAAAAAACGCATGTGAATGTATAAAGTACTAATAATATCCCGCACTTTTATGCACATTTTCTTTGGCGTTCACTTGGAGTGCAATTCTTTTTTCTACGAGATTATATTCTATTATAAAAAGATTAAGTAATTAAAAATGGATTAAAAATATTGTCTATTTCCCGAGTAGCCATCCCTCGTAGTGTTATATAATAATATTCGAGAAAGTTTAGGGGAGATCACTCTCGGTTTATTTTTTAATATATTGTCTACAATCAGAATTAAATATATTGTTATCATAAATGCTAAAATATTAAAGCATAATGAAAGTTTTTTTTTTAAATCAGAGTTGGTATAAAATCACGTTTTTCAAAAAGTCTAAATAAAATAGGTGGAACATTCTGAATGTTAGCTTACATACAACTAAAATATTGGTCCTGCAGTTCAGATCATTCTTATTTTAATTAGCCACTGTTTTTTGTGTTCTTTAAATGTCATTTTTATGGTGACAGGACATATGATCTCAGGACAAATGATCTCAAAGACAAATGATCTCACGGACAAAAGATACCAGGACAAAATATATCCAGAGTTTCTTCCAGGCATCTCTTCGTGGGGGCGAAGCCCCCCCCCCCCCCCTTCCCGAAAATTTCAAGTGCCCCCCGGAGAAAAAGGTCTGGAAGAAATACTGAATATATCAGGACAAATGATACCATGGACAATTTATATCAGACAAAGTATCTCAGACAAAATATCTCACAGCAACATTTTAATAGTGTATTGGATGATTTTAGTTGATTTGAACATTTTTTATTGACTGCCGTATGGTTTTGTTTACTCTGTTTACTATTTTTTTATAGGTCTATATAGTAATTGTGAGAAATGGTTGCCGTATACATTTGTCATATTGCACTAAAGATTTTAAAATTAAGATTGCTAATATAGTATGCGAACATTCAAGATTTGTTTCCATAGACAGCGTAGGTGGGCTTGCCAAACATAAGACAATACTACCCTGTCCGAAGAACATCACAAGACTATACACACCAAGACTATACACTACAAGACTATACACCACAAGACTATACACAACAAGACTATACACAACAAGACTATACACCACAAGACTATACACAACAAGACTAAACACAACAAGACTATACACAACAAGACTATACACCACAAGACTATACACCACAAGCAGTAGCGTACGCAGGGGGGGAGCAGGGGGAGCGGCCGCTCCCCCTCTGGCCATTTTCAGCAAAGTGGCGCCTTTTTGGAAACTTTTTAAACTCAAAGTTTTAAACAATGATATTTGTTAAAAAAATACTTTTGGTCGGCACATCTATGTAAATCACAAGATTTCTTTTCATGCAGCAATTAAGCATTGTTGTACTAGTCTAGTAGTGTCTACGTTTACAACACGTATTAACAGCTGCAACAGTTTGCCATTCTAAAAATAACCATTACGATGCATTGCAATGTTTAAAATACCTCTACGGTAGTACCTCTTGGCAAGAGGGGTGTTAAGTTTAAGGCAACTGTATAATGTATTTGCTTACGAATAATTGAATTAGAAAATGTTATACATAAAACTTCACACATAAATACTTTATATATACAGTTTGAATCGTGTGATTAATTTTTAAACAAAAATTACAATACAGAAACAAATACAACTGATGTGGTACCTCTATTTAAATTTACTTATGAGCAACGTAGTGGTGGGGAAATTTCGACAAGGTCAACAACGTAATCACGATGAAGTAGTAGTAATCTTACAGTTTGGGCGATAGTGATTACGATTACAAATTATATGAAACAGTTACAACCCCCCTCCCCCATGGACCCCTCTGTAAAAAAAATAAAGTCATAATACCACTGCTACTTATTTAAATCTATTTCTGTAATATATATTTGTGTAATATATATTTGTGTAATATATATGTATGTTTAGAACAGTCATCTAAAAACTGACGCTATGTTCACTCTGAGTTGGTTATCTCCCCACCCCCACCCCCGACACACATCTCACCACCACAATTGTGTAGAGCGACATTAATGTCACACCTAGGTATACACTGGGTTGGATAATTCACCTAAAGAGAAAGGACAGTGGTGAATGAAATTGAACCCCCCCCCCCAACCCACCCCGAACTGATCTGTTAAGCACATGTAGAGAACGCGTAATGATGTACCAAAGTACCATGCCGCCAGAAAATAAGTTTTTTAAACGTAAAACTCTGTGATTATTGTTTTTGCAATTACCAGTAAAAAGGTTTGTGATCAATACAGTGATCTAACCCATACCTATCACTATGTTAAAAAAATGATCTTTTAAGAACACAAAGAAGCAGTAGTTAATTAAAATATATAATCTGAACTAAAAGACCAATATCTAGTTAAATGGAGGCTGTTATTCCGAATGCTGTTCTATTATATCGAAAAGAGTGTTTTTATACCAACTCTGATTTTAAAAACTTTCATTATGCTGTAATACTTTAGCATTTATGATGACGATATATTAAATTATGATTATAGACAAAAACATTTTGTAAACACGAATAGTGTTAAACAATTCAATTATATTCTAAAATAATTATTTATTTGTTTTGACATCTATAATTAAATGTGTAGATATTTACATATTTATATTAAGAGAGTGATTATTTCCCCTATTTCACTTGTCTTAAATAATTTCCCAGGAATTATTATGTAAGAAATTTGTTTACAAGAATTACAAAACAGATTGTGTTACGTTCATTGTTTTTGGTTGTAGTGTGTGTAGATTTTTTTTTTGTTTAGATTGATACAATTTTTGTTTTGTCGGCCTACATTGTGTGTTTTTTCTTATTTCTTCAGAGTGGTATTTTCAATTTATTTTAAATCATAGCGATGTAATGACATACAGCTAGTAATTATATATATATATATATATATATATATATATATATATATATATATATATATATATATATATATATATATATATATATATATATATATATAAAATACACGTATATAGAACGTGTTAAAAATTCGGCGCCTTTTTTTTGCTCTTTTCGCTCCCCCTACAACGAAAACCTGGATACGCCTCTGACCACAAGACTATACATCAACAGGTATAAGAGTATAATCTTGACAAAACAATGGATACTACTCACAATCACAAACAGACAAAATATTATAAAAGTCTATATAGTTTGTACAGGTGACACATCGTCATGCTATTGTGACCGCTTTAATTAAGACACGCGATTTACCTTTGCAGGTCTGCAATCGTCGCAGAAGTTTCGAATCAGTTGCAAGTAAAAGTCAATGGTGATGATGTGATTATACTGGACGAAATGACAAGAAAGATTTGTCTAAACAAAGATGTTGAGATTGTCAACAAAGATGTTGAGATTGTCAACAAAGATGTTGAGATTGTCAACAAAGATGTTGAAATTGTCAACAAAGATGTTGAGAGTGTCAACAAAGATGTTGAGAGTGTCAACAAAGATGTTGAGATTGTCAATAGAGATGTTGAGATTGTCAATAGAGATGTTGAGTTTGATCCAGCATTAGAAAGCTATGAGAGAGGCGAGCAAACAATTAAAGAACTAATTAAAGGTGGGCGATTTTCTTGACAAATATGTGCTATATATCTGCTGTTTATATTAGAACTACATACAGGAAAAGACTTGAGTACTGTGCAGAACTATCTTCTTATTTATATAACTCTCTTCATGGAGACCATAGAAAATACCACACAGCTTAGCCACCACCCTTATCCCCACCTGTCAGGTGAGCTGTGGTTCACCCCGAATGTTTACAATCGTAGAGCCGGGATAGTGACGGCTATTAGGGGCAGATAATTTAGTATTAAACGATTTGAAACGCAGGGGAAGTAACAATTTCTGATTGATCTTTTCTTTGTCTGTAAACGGCTGCTTTCACTGGGCGGGAGGGGGAGGGAGGGTGAGAGGGGGTAGTGTTGAATTCACAAATTATGAATTGCTGATAAGCAAAAAATAAAACAACTAGATGGCGGCGTATACTACGTCGCGTGTCAGCTCGTAGATTTTAAAGTTAATAGTGTTGAAGTATATAAAAACGTTTTAAACTATTGAAATACCACAATACTTAATGAACACTCTCGACAGAATTTACTTGGAGTAATCTACAACTGACGATTCTTTCAGATATACCAAAATCATTGTATCGCCTTCTCAAAAGTCCTGTTTTTGTCCTGGGTCTTATCGATATTAGTGTAGTATCGATTCCAGTGTCTGGAATGTTCATGTTCCGCAGTATCTACATGACCATGGAGTACAACGTGCCAATGGACGAGGTATCGCTCGCGTCAAGTAGGTGTCTGGCTTTCTACAAAATCTACCAGTTCATATAAATCTATACAGCTGGAACCCTCAAAATGTAGAAGTTCATATAAAACTATAAAACTCAAACCCTTTAAATGTAGCAGTTCATATAAAACTATAAAACTCAAACCCTTTAAATGTAGCAGTTCATATAAAACTATAAAACTCAAACCCTTTAAATGTAGCAGTTCATATAAAACTATATAACTCAAACCCTTTAAATGTAGCAGTTCATATAAAACTATATAATTCAAACCCTTTAAATGTAGCAGTTCATATAAAACTATATAACTCAAACCCTTTAAATGTAGCAGTTCATATAAAACTATACAAATCGAACCCTTATAACGTAGCAGTTCATATTAACTATTCAAATCGGACCATTTATTAGCAAATAACAATCAATTTGGTATATTAGGCGTGACGTCAGCAGTGGGGTCACTAAGTGGAACTCTGCTAAGTTCATGGGTCACAAGCAAGGTCAAAAGCAAGCTCGGCCTGCAGTACCTCATCATGGGCTCCTACTTGCTTCAAGTTGTCTTCAATCCGCTCTTCTTGATCTTTGGTTGTGACAACAGGCCAGTCTATGGCTTCACTGGAAAATTGTAAGTTGCTTTTTGGTTAGCCGTACCATCGTTTAGACATACATTTAGCAAAGAAATATTTAATTACGAGCAGTTCAACACAACACACAATCATCCATTCCTTCCGCCATACATCCAGCTATAGCAAAAAACATAGTCAGCCATACAGCTAGACATTTAGATAATCATCTACACTATCAGCCACTCGACCAGTCACACCACCAGCCACACCACCCCGATACAACACCCAAACAACCGGCCACACCAGCCACACAACCAGCCACACCACTCAGCCACAACACCCAAACAACCATCCAAACAACCAGCCACACAACCAGCCATACAACCAGCCACACAACTAACCACACCACAAGCCACACCACCAGTCACATAACCAGCCACACCACAAGCACACAACCAGCCACACAACTAACCACACCACAAGCCACACCACCAGTCACATAACCAGCCACACCTTAAGCCACACAACCAGCCACACAACCAGCCACACAACCAGCCACACAACCAGCCACACAACCAACCAGATCACAAGCCACACAACCAGCCACACAACCAACCACTCCACAACCACACAACCAGCCACACAACCAGCCACACAACCAGCCACACAACCAACCACGCAACCAACCACACCACAAGCCACAAAACTACCCACACAACCAGCCACACAACCAGCCACACTACCAGCCAAACAATCAGACACACAGTCAACCATACATCCCACCATGCATCCATGGACACAGCTAGCCAGTAGCGTAGCGAGGGGGGGGGGGGAGGGGGACATATGGGTTGGAAAAATAAATTGAAAGGTTGAGGGGGGTGCAAATTGAAATCTCGAGGGGGGGTGCAAATCGAAAGTTTGAGGGGGGTGCAAATCAAAATCTCGAGGGGGGTGCAAATCGAAAAGTTTGTCCCCGGGCGCCGGGAAGGGTCGCTACGCCTCTGCAGCTAGCCATATATACAGCAAAACAAATTAGCCATAACGTCAGCAGCCCTAACGTCAGCCATACAACCATATAAAATGACTGCCTGCTCCACAGCGGTATTCCCGTCAACTCAACGTCCGACTGCGACTGTTCTTCCAGCAAACAACTGTTGGTGTGTGGCGATGATGGCAACAACTACCTATCGCCCTGCTACGCCGGCTGTAAGGGTGTCAGTGGCACGGTAAGATGAACCTCACAACGTATGATAAATCTTTCATTGTATGTATGACCTCACAATGTGTTTCACTTCTCATTATTTGTTTCACCTCACAATGTATGTTTCACCTCTCATTGTATGTTTCACTTTCTCAATTTCACCTCACATTTGTAACATCTCATATTAGGTTAAACGTTTGAGGTGTTTTTAACTTCTCTTGGAAAATGTAACATCTTATATAAATTTCACCATCTCATGATTGTTTTAACATCTCTAAGAAAGTGTAACTTTATTATTTCTATGGTATATCTTCACCGTACCATAAAGGATATATCTAAATGTCTATGGTATATCTTCACCGTACCATAAAGGATATATCTACATTTCTATGGTATATCTTCACCGTACCATAAAGGATATATCTAAGCCTAAGTGAAATCTTTAATCTTTGCTTGCCACATATCTATCTATCTATATACTACTAAAACTCAAGTTTGTTTACATGTTTGAATATTTGTTTGTTTGTCTGATTTGGTACTGTAAGGAAACTGCTCTATATGGGGGGGGGGGCTGTAAAATAGTATGTAGGTAGAGAACAATTTTTGATTGCAGACAGACTGTTAATCACACATTTATTTAAAGACGTTAAATAATTTATTAATTTATTCATAGGTAGATTAACCACATTAATTTTAAAGTTTTAGAACAATGGCTTAAGTTTGACTGAATAGTGACGTTTGATAACTCTTTTTTTTTTTTTTTTTTTTTTTTATTGGGGAGAATCTGCATTATGTGTAGAGTTGTAAAATAGGATTTTTGGTGGTAAATATTGTTCTTTCTTAAACACACTGTTAATTACAAACTAATTTAAAGCCGTTAATTAATTTATTGATATATTCTTTGGTAGATTAACCACGTTAATTATAACAGTTTAGAACAATAACTTTAGTAATAGTAAAAAGATTTATTTTACAACAATGTTTTCAATTATTTTACAACAAAACTGTGAAGAGAGCTTATTACACAGTGTGTCAGCCTTGTGCAACCGAAGTTAAAGTTTGTGCTAAATGTAATACCAAACAAGATAGTATAATACAGCCAGGGCAGAGTGAGGAAGAAAAGAAAGCCCAAGAAGAGCAATTAAAATTTGAAGTTCAGCACTTAAAGGAAAGGCAGAGAAGACCTTTATATCGACATATTGAGAAGGGAGAGAATCCTAAAGATGTTCTTGAGGCAACTGCTTTCAAAGATGATTTGGATGATGATGAAGAAGAAGATGATGAAGATAGTAGTGATGAAGATTTTTAGCTATTATTTACAATAAAACTATACGGTCTTTAAAAAAAAAAAAAAAAAAAAAAAAAAAAAACAAAAAAAAAAAAAAACTATATGTAAATGATAAGGTTGACTATCAGGACCTCGCGGGGCACAGGGCAGGTGAAGTAGAGTTCACCTGTTTCTATGTTCTCAGCATATGAAGGGATAGTGTGGTCAGAGCCATGCTCGGCCGGAATCGTTTTTTTTTTAAATACAAACATGTCTGAGACTTGGCGGGGCACAGGGCAGGTGAAGTAGAGTTTAGTAGAGTTTTTAATATATAAAACAGTCTTTTTGAATGTGGGGTCTAGTTATTTTGGGATGATAAGTGCTGGCAGACGTGATGTCATTTATGGATGACCCCCCGAAACCCACAGTTATCTAACAAGATAACGGGTAGTCTAGTTTAATAATTAAAGTGACAACATCAATTAAATCAATTCCTCAGATTTTTACCGAATGTTTGCGACTACAGAACTCAAGCAGCGGTAGTCACGTGACTCCCGGCGTGTGCTCCCCCGACTGCCACAGCAACTTTTTGCTCTACGCAGCTCTACACGGTGTGCAGTACCTGGTTGAAGCTGGGACAATGATACCGAGATGGCTACTCTTATTAAGGTGCAACGCTCGTACAATAGCATACCTTTATACTGAGATCTGAAACTTTAAACACTGCAACACTCGTACTTTAGCATACCTTCATATTGATATCTGAAACTTTAAACACTGCAACACTCGTACTTTAGCATACCTTCATACTGAGATCTGAAACTTTAAACACTGCAACACTCGTACATTAGCATACCTTCATACTGAGATCTGAAACTTTAAACACTGCAACACTCGTACATTAGCATACCTTCATACTGAGATCTGAAACTTTAAACACTGCAACACTCGTACATTAGCATACCTTCATACTGAGATCTGAAACTTTAAACACTGCAACACTCGTACAATAGCATACCTTTATACTGAGATCTGAAATATATCTAAATATAAGTTTAATTTTTATTGATGTAAACTTAAAATGTACTACTTAAAACATATATTTCATAAAAATGTGTTATTCTTATTTTTTTTAGTTTTAATATTCTCTGAGTACAAAGGAAGTATTGTATGAATGGATATAAATTAAATATTGACAGTTCCTTCCTTAATTTTATCTCCCTACTTTATCGTATACGAAATAGAAACGATTGATCATAACCTTGAAAGAGACTGATATTGTGATTTTGAAAAATGATCACGTTCTACATCTTTCCATGAATGTTTTGTAAACTTCTACGTCTGTCTTTCTGTCCGTCTAATTGTCAGTCCTTTCGTCCGTCTGTGTGTCTCTATAATTCATAGTTACTTTCTTTAGAGCGATTTTTGAAACAAAAAGTAATTCTTACTTTACAACGGGTCTCTCAATAGTTTCAAATATGTTTTTCACATTTTATCTACTTTTCAAACGTGTTGATAATTTACATTTGAAAAATGTTCAAGTGTCATTTAACTGGGTCCACGTTTCATATAAGTTTTAATGTGTCCACGTTTCATATAAATTTTAATGTATCCACGTTTCATATAACTTTTGACGTGTCCACGTTTCATAAAAGTTTAAATGTTTTCATGTTCAGGGTTGTGGAACCACAAGACCGAGGATTCGCCTCCAGTTTCTACATCTTCTTTTATAGCATAAGTAAGTGTAATCAGTAAGTGTATTCAGTAATTGTATTCAGTAATTGTATTCAGTAATTGTATTCAGTAATTGTAATCAGTAATTGTAATCAGTAAGTGTAATCTATCATTTTACTCTGTCAGTTTAGTCAGAATGTGTATTTAGATAGTGTAATCACCAGTGCAATAACTGTAATCAGTGATAGTTTCTTTTTTGTTGACTCCGGGGGTCGTTTTAAGAACTCAAGTTTTATCATAGGTTTTCGACGATGCAATTTTTCCGGATATTAAGCTTAAATAACCAGCATTTCACTCGTGGTCAGTTTTTAGCCCTCGGCAAGTGCATAGTATATAAGTACCGTCAGTAGATAAAGGGATATATAGCTCAAATAAATTCTGATAAGCTCAAATGAATTCTGCTTATATGTATCTTTGTATGTATTATGTATGTTTGTGGAAGACAAGATGTTTGTGGAAGAGTAAAGTAAAAAAAATAGACGGCATTGCATTATATTTTAAAAGCGTAAATGTTTTTACTAAATGCTAAATTAATGTCTGAAGAACTCAACAACGATCATTTCGAAATGAATTTTTATTTTGCAACTTTTTTTTTAACTTACGTAAATGTGCATTGAACAAAATCAAAATAAATGGATAACCCTTCTAAAGAATTCTAATTTTGTCTGAAAAAAAGAATAAACTAATACCAATAACTTCCAGAAAATAAAATAAAATAATTTCTTTTTTTTTTTGACGTTGGAAAAAACTACATAATTAGCAATGATTCAGAAAGTGCCATGTGATCGGTAAAAATAGGTATTTTATAAACTACCTGTATTTATTTTATAAAAAGATTGAATTGTTGACTATTATTATTTTTAATATATAACATTTTATAAAGCGTTCCTAAATGTCCTCTATATTTAAATTTATTTTAGAGTGTCGCCTAATATTTTAAACTTCAGTATAGTTCAAGATGACTTAAACAATTAAAAACTACATTTTTACCGTTAATTTGATATCAATTTTATTTATCAGATTTAATCGGTAGCCTAGAAAATGATTTGTGAAAAAAACGTGTTTATTTTTAAATGATACGGTGGGTTTGTTTTTTAAGGAGTGTTGTTGTGACGCGATTGACCATTCACTGCCGTTCAGCAGAAATGTGACGTCTGCTAGATTTCTCCCCATTCAAATACACGGCAGCCAAAGGGGGCGGGCTTAGTTAGCTGCTGTCTCGATCAAGTTAATTTTAATAGATTTTGTTTTTACATGCATGATTTTTAAAACATTAGTGGCATTAGTTTAGTAGAAAGCAAGTCATAATTTTCTATAGTTTAGATTATATTTTAGTACATTTAGAACAATATTAAATGAAGCAATTCACGTTTTGTTTACTTTTATTATGATCTGCTCGATATTCTCAGCGATTAGACGAAAAATTGTACAAATGGCGAGTTTGCATCAAACACTAATTGACCATTGTAAAACCTAGACCAGTATCGTTGAATAATACGAAAAAATAACGATTTTAAGTATATATTTTTGAAATGACCATGAAACATTGTTAACATCGTCGTTTTCGGCAGCCATCTTTACAATGACGACGGTAAAGAAAATAGGCCAAGCAAAAGGCTAATTCATCCTCACGTTTGCGATATTGTTTGTGTTTATGTTTAAGTTACGTTAATGTTCGAGTTTACGTTTGCATGATTTTCTACGTTATGATTGTGTTTCTATTTCTGTTTGCGTTTAAGTTTGTGTTTATGTTTTCTTTGATATTTGCGTTTGTATTTATTGTTTTTACGTTAACGTTTATGTTTCAGTTTGCTGTATTGTTTTAATCTGTTTGCTTTTAACATTGTATTCACATTTGCGTTTATGTTTGCATTAAGTTTCTCTTTTGTGTCTATTTTTGCTTTTAGGTTTGCATGTATGTTCGCGTTTAAGTTTGCATTTTTTTCTTTTTTGTTGTTTGGGTTTATTTTTGCGATTTTGTTTCTGTTTGTTTTTATTTGCGTTATTGCTTGCGTTTGCGTTTATTCTAGTTTTTAGGTTTCTGTTTATGTTTGCGTTTACGTTCGTGTTTATTTTTCCGATTAAGTATGAGCTTACGTTTCTGATTGCTTTTGTGTTTATCTCCTGTATGTTTGTAATTATGATTTGTGATGAAATGCTTATATTTGCATTTATTTTTTCGTTGTTGTATTTTTTTTTTGTTTTTGACGTTTCTGTTCAATGAAAATTGTATAAATCACAATCAACGGGATTAATGAGCACATAATTTAGGGTACTTTAAAAATAACTTTTACCTCAAATGCCAGTTTAATTAAGATTAAGTTTTATTACATCCTTTCTTTAAATATATAATAACCAGGTGCATACCCGTGCTCCGCCATGGGGAATCTTTTTTTCAAATGTTCCAACTACGGAACAGAACAAAACTAAACACAGACATAAAAGAAAATACAAACACAACGCAAACACAACACAAACACAAAAGAAAACAAAATTTAACGCAAGCACGTACACATGCAAAAATAAAAACACAAACGCAAGCGCAAAAATAACAACAAAAAACAAAAACTCAAACAGAAACACAAACACAACACACAAAGACAAAAAAAACACAAACATAACGCAAAAGCAAACACAAACATCAACTAAACAAAAAACACAATGCAAACGCAAAAAACACAACCTAAAAAGGATTCACAAATGCTAACGCAAACGCAACACTTAAACTCAAATACAACTGCAAACCTAAACGCAAACAACAACGCATTGCATAAACACAAATGTTGCGTTTGTGTTAGGTTTGCGTATTTTTGTTTTGGTTTTGGTTGGTTGTATATCCCCACTTAAACACAACTACAAACGTAAACCCAAACGCAAACAACGTAAACACTAACTTAAGTGTAAACATAAACGCATAATGCTCACAGCCTAGCGCGGGGCTAATCCTAACCTTAACCCATATCGACCACAGGATAGCCAATCGTGCAAAATCGAACCCTGCTGGGGCTCCGGCAGACTCGTCTGATTCAATTTTGCGAAGGACTAAAAAAAACCCCAGCTCGTCTGCAAACCGAAAGATAGAAGTAAACATAGAGGGCATTTAGTAGCGGCTTCTTCACTGTTATTGGTTAAAAATAATAATTAGTAAACAGTACATTCATTGTGTAAAATAAATAAAATATCCTTGTTTTACCTACCTTAGCGCACGACATTATCAATGGATGCTAATTATTTTATTCCAATAATAATACTTTCTTGAATGTCCACGGAATTTGTATTCACATTTTTATTAACGTGTGTTGACTTTTTTATTACCTCCCCTGGCATACTTATTAAACATTTAAGTAATTAATTTTTTTACCCTACTGTTATTAAAATGTATACATTTTTTCAAGAATCTAAGTGATAATATTATTTGAGATTGATTCGTTTAATATGTGCGCGTGTATTTAACATTTTCTTCACGTTATGCGAAAGAGAAAAACTGTGGCTACTATAAAATAAATTTAAGATGTTATACAGACTAACCCTACTTTAACTTTTATAATAAGACGATGCAATGCAATTTAAAGCACTGCATACTTAAGTGTTTACTTTTATGGATCCAAAATCTTTAGCGATGGATGACGGAACGACTGAAGGAACGATTGACACACTACCACCAGCCTTAAATTATAGATAAGCTACTATTTAAATATGGTTCACTATATAATTAATTGGATACCTTTATTAATATAATTTAGTGAGAATTTTAAGAAAATCATTTATTTTACTCCTTTTTATTCTTACCGATTCGAAACTGACCGATTCGTTTCAAACTTGGCACGTGGCTTAAGGCACAATGACAATGCAATCTGATATCTAATTTAACTTAATTGGGTGCATTCTAAACTTATTATGAATTAATTAATTTTTAGTGAGTAAAGTACTATTTACCGCGCTATTTTTAATGCCTTTTTACTTTCTCGTATACGATGTAAGCTATAAAAAAAATATTGTAAAAGTGCAAAAAAAATGAAATCGATATTTTCACAAATCTTGACGTTTATCTCTGAGCCTGAAAAACTTAGTTTAGCAATTTTGTTCTGTGTGTATGTGTGTGTATCTGTGTGTATCTGTGTGTCTATGAATACGATAACCTGAGTACCAGTACTGTTAGGTTGAGGAAATTTCATTCATAAGTATTATATCAAATTTTGTAGTTCTGTGTATCAACTTTTCAGCAATTTTGCGTAACCAGAATATGAACTTATTCCACTTTCGGTTTTTCAAACGCATATAACTTGAGTACTGTTTCTGATGGATAGACGATATCTCACATATAAGTTAAATATCTAATTCTTTGTTTTCTACCAAATCTTAAGTTATTTCCATTTAACCAAAGTAGCATTTTACGCTATTTTAATTTTTCTAAAACCGCATATAAATTTATAAAGCACTAGCCGTCCCGGCCAAGCCCTGCACTGGCCTTTGCGAAAAACCTATCTGTAAAGGACCATGACTTGTGTGTTTAGTAATCATCATATACCCGGCTTTGCCCGGGTTTAGGAAATATATAACTTAGTGAAGGACTATAGTAACCTTTCTAATTCGTGAACGACTATTATACCCCAAGCTTATATGCAAACAGAATGTAGAAGTAAACATATCCCATATTATCCCAAGGTCTCAAATTTTTATAATTTTTTTTTATGGTTTAGCTTTTGGGCACTGAATGAAGGAATGGCTATGGATTTTTTTTTTAATCAATACTTTTTTAAATATCGATTTTTTTTTTAAAAAACGTCCCATAAATGGGACGCTAGCAACGAACGGCCCCATGTACATTTATTGAAAAATAAAATCATTTGTCACGAAATATGGCTAATCACGCGAAAATTAAGCTGTATACTGCATTTGTATTGTTAGACCAATGATTACATTGCTTAGGACAGCTAAAAATACTGATAATGATCAATTGGGTTAGCCATACCATGGTCTAAAATGCAGAAATTATGTTCAAAAGTCTAGTTTTCTTTCAATCTAGCATCCATCAAAGTGAAAAACACTTGGAAATAAGTAAAGCTGTGACTAATACATCTAATTATACACACATGATCACAAATATTGTTATTATTCACCGAAACTGTAATATAATTAAATATAAATAATTGATTTTTTGGGGGGCGTACTTGAAATTTTCAGGGGTGGGGACTTAAATTTCAGGGGAAGGGTGGACATTGGTAAAAGTATGTTTTGTATATAAATTCCATTTTGTTCTGGGGACTGAGCCCCCCCCCCCCCTCCGAAATGATGCCTGAAAGAAACTCTGCCCTCAGTGAAGTTGCAAAAGATGATCCGGTCCAGTCCCAGATGTCATCCAGCCATCTTCTCTTTTGTTACCCTCGCTATTCCCCCCCCCCCCCCTCACAGGCGTACATTAGGACATCAGACATCTTATTTCTAGGGCACGGATCCATCTCTGGGGGCTTGTATTGAGTGTTCATGGCTCTCATCCATGTGTGCACCTCACTATGCAAACAGCTCCCAATCTAACACCAGGAATCTCCTTAAAAAGTTAACAAAGTAAAACTGGTATCGGGAACCTTTGGAGGGGAATATTATTGGGGCATGACAACTGTACACAGCTAATTCACATTTCTGCTATATGTAGCTTAAGCTCTCTTATATGAAGAGAGTTAACCAACCCCCATGACTGAATCATTTCACCTAAATCGTGGCCATTGTTATTATTCTGGTTTGTTATAATTTTAATATCACGCGCTAGTAAATTTACAGCAATACTAAATTAGTTTGTATTCAGTGGTATTAAATTCTTCAGTAAGTGTAATTCTGAAAACTTAAAAATAAAATGTAAGTTTTTCAATATTTGCAATTTTTTAATACAATAATATATAAGAAAATATAGCTCAAGGTCATAATTAAATATCTATAAATACTACTTAACACCCCAAAGTCAACAGTTCACAAAGTCAACAATTGTTTCACCATAAATAGCCATTTAACATAAATATTTGCATCTTTTTTTCTCGCTAGTGTCCAATAAATGTGACGTTTGTGTAACAATCTGCATAAATATAGGTCAAGGTCAGAATTAAATATCTAGCAATACTACTTAACACCCCAAATGTGACGTTTGTGTAACAATTTATATGGGGCCATTCGTTGCTAGCGTCCCACTAATGGGACGCTTGTTGTACACTTGATATAACGAAGCAGTAAAAAAATTGTTATTCTTAAATTTTTATCAGACAGAAATATGGTATTGCTACAAGTTTCAAATGTATTTTGCACTTAAAATGTTAATATTTTAGAAGATATGCATTTTCCTGTGCGCATGTTTTCTTTTTTCCGCCATTTTGACAAGTCCTGCAAATCCGGCACTATGACATTTTTCTAAATTAATTTTTATCACAAAACTCACACAAATTCAATAGTCTAGCCATTTTCAAATACAATGAAAAATAATTTGTGTTTTAACTAGTTTTTAATAAATTGTAGCAATTTTTTTTACAAGCGTCCCATAAGTGGGACGCTAGCAGAATATGGGATATAGGACATTTAGGAGTGGCTTCTAAACTGTTATTGATTTCAAATAATATTTAGTGAACAGTACGTTCGGTGTATAATTTAAACAAAGGGAAGGTTTTTTGTAGTTCACTTGGTGTGCAATTCTTTTATCTACGAGATTCTATTCTAGTTTTAAAAGTTCAAGTATGTAAAAACTGATTAAAAATAATTTCAAATCACGCGTTGCCAACTCCCGTATTGTTATATAAGAATATTCGAGAAATTTTAGGGGAGATCACTCCGGCTTTATTTTATGTTCATTTTGTGCGCATGGCTTTTAGTCAACCAACACTATTTTATTTTAGTTAAAGGACTGAAAAGGAGGCAGTAAAAGCAAGTTTTGTAACACGTTTTTATATAATTATTGACTATTAAGGAGAAACTAGATGATTAAATAATATTAAAAGGCATTAAAAAGGTTTTAATAACAAGATTTTATGTAATAATGCAATACAAAGGAGAAAGTTTTATAAATATAAAGAAAAACGTGTGTGGCTTTTTGAATTCTAGTAAAGGTATTCAAAACAAAATATAGCGACCCACGCTTTTCTTTTTAGTCATTTAAATAGTGGTTCATTTTTATTACATAAAAGCTTGTTATTGAAACGTTTTAAGAATTTTTTTAAAAATGTGCGCTCTTTAAAATAATCCTGCAAAATGACGTCGACAATGTATTTTTAAGAGATTTTTTTTTCAAAACTGGCCAACTTAATTCCTGCGTAGACTTAACAGACATAATATATTTTTTTACAGCTAATCAAAAACTAAGCCGCCGGCTGTGCATAAACACAGCTGTTTAAAAATGTTTCCAAAACGAATAAACGGTCAGATTTCCCTCTTGAATGGGTGTCTCTAAACGTTTTGAAAGAGTATTTGCCCCCCCCCCCCCCCAAATCGTCTTTTAACCGGAGTGTTATCCACCCCCAAGTAAAGAAGATTTATAAATCATGAAGGCAGTGTTTAAGTTTGCCTATCTTTAACACTACATTTTATGTAATGTACTTTAAATTGTATACGCAACAGCATGGTTAAATAGCAGTATGTATTTCAGTTAGAATACATTCACTGTATGTATTTCAGTGAGTATACATTCACTGTATGTATTACAGTTAGCATACATTCACTGTATGTATTACAGTTAGCATACATTCACTGTATGTATTACAGTTAGCATACATTCACTGTATGTATTACAGTTAGCATACATTCACTGTATGTATTACAGTTTGCATACATTCACTGTATGTATTTCAGTTAGCATACATTCACTGTATGTATTTCAGTTAGCATACATTCACTGTATGTATTACAGTTAGCTGAAAGTATCAAGTGTACTTGAACTGAATGTATTTTATTTAGTGTTCCTCTACCGAATGTATTTTAGTGAGTATACCTTCACCGAATGTGTTTGGCAAGCTAATAGATGATGCTTGTATTATATGGGACGGAAACGTGTGTACACTCTATGACAGAGACGCTATAAGGTATTTCATATGTGAAAGTAAACATGAACGTGTACTTGTAATCGTAATCGTAATCGTAATTTGAATCGTAATCGTAATAATGGTAATCGTAATGGTAATGGTAATGGTAATCGTAATGGTAATGGTAATGGTAATGGTAATAGTATTGGTAATGGTAATGGTAATGGTAATCGTAATCGTAATCGTAATCGTAATCGTAATCGTAATCGTAATCGTAATCGTTTTCGTTATCGTTGTCGTTATCGTTGTCGTTGTCGTTGTCGTTGTCGTTATCGTTATCGTTATCGTTATCGTTATCGTTATCGTTATCGTTATCGTTATCGTTATCGTTATCGTTATCGTTATCGTTATCGTTATCGTTAGCGTTAGCGTTAGCGTTAGCGTTATCGTTATCGTTATCGTTATCGTTATCGTTATCGTTATCGTTATCGTTATCGTTATCGTTATCGTTATCGTTATCGTTATCGTTATCGTTATCTTTATCGTTATCGTTATCGTTATCGTTAAAGTTATCGTTATCGTTATCGTTATCGTTATCGTTATCGTTATCGTTATCGTTATCGTTATCGTTATCGTTATCGTTATCGTTATCGTTATCGTTATCGTTATCGTTATCGTTATCGTTATCGTTATCGTTATCGTTATCGTTATCGTTATCGTTATCGTTATCGTTATCACTATCGTTATCGTTATCGTTATCGTTATCGTTATCGTTATCGTTATCGTTATCGTTATCGTTATCGTTATCGTTATCGTTATCGTTATCGTTATCGTTATCGTTATCGTTATCGTTATCGTTATCGTTATCGTTATCGTTATCGTTATCGTTATCGTTATCGTTATCGTTATCGTTATCGTTATCGTTATCGTTATCGTTATCGTTATCGTTATCGTTATCGTTATCGTTATCGTTATCGTTATCGTTATCGTTATCGTTATCGTACTCTTACTTGTACTTGTATTTGTACGTATACATCTATGTCTACGTCAAAAAATAAGTCTGTGTCTATATCTATATCTATGTTCTTTGTCCATGTCCATGTCCATGTCCATGTCCATGTCCATGTTCATGTCCATGTCCATGTCCATGTCCATGTCCATGTCCATGTCCATGTCCATGTCCATGTCCATGTCCATGTCCATGTCCATGTCCATGTCCAGGTCCATGTCCATGTCCATGTCCAGGTCCATGTCCATGTCCATGTCCATGTCCATGTCCATCTATATGTCTATGTCTATGATGTACATGTTTCTTACTCTGACTTCACATGCAGATACCTCATGTCTGGCTTAGATGTAGGCGTCAACGTACTGTCAATCCTGACCAACATTCCCATCCTTGCTATCTTACTCTGGGAGCGAAGAAAGTCACAGATCTCGAGGTCAGTTCCAGACTTGAAGCAGTCCAATCTGGACAGCTCAGTCCGAAATGACGAGTCAATGACAGAGATGAATGATCACGTGGTATCATGATTGCAACAACTGGGATTCAAATGTATTGCTGTAAAGTTTATTGTAGTATGACTAGTGACATCAAGTGTCGCATCATGCCAAGTGACGTCGAACATGTCACTTGAAATGTATCACTCCGACAACAAACACTTGTATTAAATTAAAATTAAAATTTCCATCTCTCTTTTGTTCGTTTATTTTATTCCTTGTACTCTAAAATACTTGACGCTACTCGGTGAAACAAAGTAATGATAAAACAATGAAGTGAAATGAGAATACTGTCTGTCAGGGTTTCACTCACTGGTTGATGTTTCTAGGATTCAGTCATGAAAAATGTAGCGAAATTTCTCTGAATCAACTCTAAATCAATTAGGGGACGAAGTATCTAATTTATTTTAATCTAGTGATACGTACTGTATTCGTACAGCAGTATATAATGTACGAGACTATAAAGTTGCGTTTTAGGAAAAAAATACCTTAACCTAAACTTCAACCCACTGTCCCCACGATCCCAATTTAATCACTCATCCCACACCATACACATGATTAAGCATATACTACAGCCCGCCACACCACCACACCACCTTACGCCTCACGACACCACACTTCCCGCACACCATCTAACTCTCTCAACTACAACACCATACACCCAAACATATAACTCTAAGGCGCACATTTTTGGTCGGACTATTTTGACTTTTCATCAATGTATTTTATGATTTACCAAAATTTGTGAACTAATAAACACCATAATAAGTCTCAACAATCTACTTTTTATATTAGAAACCAGATTTTGAACCCGTTTTACGCCCTGGCGTGGGAAGATGAACGCCAAAAAAAAAGTTTAAAATGGAACAACCCAAAGCTTACCATTGACGAAGGTACCGAGCTATCCTCGTTTAAGTTATTTCTGTGACAATAGTTTAACACACATGTATATTTCGAGGAGTGATTTTCTCTTCCATTCTACTCGGTTCTAATACGGTGTATATTAAAACAATAGGTGTGTTTTTAATACAAAAAATGGAAAAAGTAAAATCTTACCCCCGTCTAGTTTAACCATCGCATCAAAATAAACAACAAAATCGGCAAGAATTATTTTAAATAAAAAAGAACAAATAAGTAGGTCATACATCTGTTAGATATTAGTTACCATAAAACTCATCACCAACTTATTAGAAGAAAGCAAATATAGTTTTAATCTTAGATTAAATTAACCTGCTTAGCAGAGTAAAGAAAAATTAAAGACGATTTATAAATATAATCCTAGAGAGCATAGCTTTTTCCACTACAAAAAGTTTTTTTAATATTTAATTAATTAATTTTTTACCACACTACTATCTACCTATATATATATATATATATATATATATATATATATATATATATATATATATATATATATATATATATATATATATATATATATATATTTATTTATTTATATATATATATATATATATATATATATATATATATATATATATATATATTTATATATATATATATATATATCTAATATATTAAGTTCAATTCTTTTTGTTTGTAAAATGTTTGTCGTGGATTACAAAGAAAAATACAAAAAAACCGATACTTCTATGGATCCAAGTGGTGGATTATTATAAAATTCTCATGGTCTAAATTTATGAGTTAAAAAATTAATATTGAAAGTCTTTAAAAAAGTTTTTATTTTACATACTAAGAATAATAATTTTCAATTACGAACAATACATAATTTTTTTTTAAAAGTGTATTAACGTTTATAAAATTTCTAATTGTGTCTGAAATGTATTTGCATTTAATCCTTTAGTGCTCATTACGCTACTTGATTAGGAAAACACAGTTACTTCCCTTTAAAAAACATTAAATGGGGGGGGGGAGAATTTACTTTTTATTACTTGGTTTTGGTGTTAGGAAAAAAAATTACATAATTAGCGGGGATTGATTAAGTAGAATGTAGTTGGTATTCTTAATACTGCCTTTTATTTATTCCAACACTGAACGTACTGTTTTCTTATTATTATTTTAAATCAAAGACAGGTGAAGTAACAAAAGATATCTTTATTCGGGAACGGGAATTCCCGCAGGTTATTATTATTTGTGGGTTTTTTTGCGCATTCGTTTTGTCTGTCCTTTTTTGCGCACGAGGGGGAATTCGTTTTGGTCGGTCGCACCAGAAAGCTCTTTTATAGACACCTGCACCAAACTACAAAAAGATATACCATTTTATATAATACTGTATTGTGTTGTGTTCGTGTTGTGTTCGTGGTTGGGTTTCCGTTTGGATTTGGTTTGTTTTCGGTTGCTTTTTCGTTTGTTTTTCTTTGTGTTTGTATTGGTGTTATCGGTTGTGGTTGGGTTTATTGTTAGGTTTTTGTTTTCGTTTGCTTTTTCGTTTGTTTTTCCTTTGTGTTTGTATTGTTGTTTGTAGTTGTGGTTGGGTTTGTTGTTAGGTTTTCGTTTTCGTTTGTATTTGTAATTGTGTTTGCGTTATGTTTGCGTTTGTTTTTTTGGTTGGTTATGGTTAGGGTGGGCAATGCCGGGTATATGATGATTACTAAACACACAGGTAATGGTCCTTAACAGAAAGGCTTTTCACTGAGGCCAGAGCAGGGCCTGGCCGGGACGGCTAGTATATATATAATTCTCTACTTGAACAACACATCGCACGCAAGCCGACCCGCTCTCTACCTCGCTCTCCAGGCATGCGCAACAGACCATATCGCAATCATATGCAACCCCACAAGTCTTGTGAGCTGTGACTCACGCCGAATGTTTACAATCGTAGAGCCAGGTCGAATAAGTGACTGCTATTAGGGGCAGATAATTTAGTTTTTAAACAATTTGAAACTAAGCGGAGGTAACAAAATCTGCTTGATCTATTCATTGTTGTCTGTAAACTGTCGTCACGGACGGCTGCTTTTACGGGGGTGGGGAGAGGAAAGGGGGAGTATAATCGTCCTTCACAAGCTACTTATGTGTTTTAAAGCAAAATATTTTCAGCCGCTGCATTGGTTGTGTCAAATTCACAAATTATTAAGCACTGAAAGTAAATTTTAAAAAAAAACTAAAAAGCGACGTATTCTAAGCCGCGAGTCGGTTCGTTTTTAATGTTTATCAATTTTAAAATGAAGACAAAGTTTATCTATTTGATACCTTTACTAATATTTTGGAAGAGACCCACGCTTTTCTTTATAATTATTTAAGTAGTCGTGTATTATATATTTAAAGGAAATTATTTATTTTCAACTTTTTAGTGCATTATTACATAAAACCTTGTTATTAAAACGTTTTTTTTATGATTTTTTTTCAGTACGTACCATATTTTATTTACAATACATTTGCAGGACTAAAAACTATTGGGCACCTAATAAACGTGATAAGGCGCGTTTAATAGTGCGGAATAGTTGGGTAAGACTGCCAACTAATTTGGTCAAAATTTTAATTAATTCATAAAAAATTAAGCAGGCAACCTGTTAAGTCAAATTGAATGTCATGTTGCATTGTCTTCATGTCTTGACCCACGTAACAACTATGGACCGAATCAGTCAGTTAGAAATGCCCGTAATTTCGATCGGGCGGCTGACAGACTGACGACATACAGGGGAAGTAAGTTAAATAAAAGCTTGTAATAAAAGCTTGTAACAACTAAATAGCGGCGTATTCAATTCTACGCCGCGGGTCGGCTCGTGTTTAATAATTATCAATTTTAAAACGAAGACAAACTTGTTTAACGATAACGGACGGAAGGACGATTTTTATCTCTCTTATCTTAACAAATATCTCCACAAAGTCAGTAGGTAGGAAAGTTGGTTCCAAATGATTCCATTAGGTAGTTGCCAGAAAGCATGTTTTTCAACCAAAATTGAATATTTTATGATGTTTGTGAAATAAGTACAAAATCACTTCTGATTTTACTAAGGCTAGACATATTAAAACAAAAAATTACTAATATTGCAATAGTAATTTTTCAAATATTTTTATTTAAATTGGGATTAGTATAGTCAGGATGTTGCGGTGAAAGGGGATGTCATATTATTTAATATAAATCAACTACTAGGCTATATCCCATTGTAATAATAAGTAAAGCGTAATTAATATCAACATTTTAATATAGGCCTAATCAATCTAGATCGACCTCTGACTATCGTTAACAAAAAAAGTTTTGGCTTATATTTACTTTTGTGTGGAAGGACGTAGATCTGGCTTTTGGTAACGATAGTCAGAGGTTGATCTAGATTGCTATTTTTGTTTTTTTAAAGCAGCATTTCCAACATATAACGTAACACAAATTATGTAACGCGTTAAAACATTTTTTTAAATAGGTAACAACTAATAACACTAATGCTTGATCATAATAATCTGAGCATAACAAAATGGTTCCAAACGGCTTCATTTTTTTTTAATATAGCTATAATTCTATCGCTAAAAAAATTGCCATATTTTTAAATATATTTTTCTACATATAATTAAAAAACCGGGAGTGATCTCCCCTAAACTTTCTCGAATAATCTTATATAAAACAACAGGTGATGGGAACTCGGGATATAGTTATGATTTTTAATCCATTTTAAATACATAAACTTTTTAAAATAAAATAGAATCTCATAGAAAAAAGTATTGCACACCAAGCGAACGCCGAATAAAGATGTTCATAATGGTGCGCAATATTATTAGTACTTTATAAATTTAGATGCGTTTTTGAGAAATCGGAAATAGCGTAAATTAGTACTTCCCGTCAACGGAAATTACTCAAAATTTGACAGAACGAAGACAATTAGATCTTTTACTTACAAGTGAAATTTCATTTATCTATCTGAAATAGTACTCAAGTTATAGGCTTTTGAAAAGTTCAAAGTAGAAAAAGTACCACTTCCGGTTATCGGAAATCGCTCAAAAGTTGATACGGATCTACGATTTTGATAAAATACTTATATATGAAATTTCATCAACCTAGCTGTAACGGTACTCAAGTTATCGTGTTTACACACACACACACACAGCCACACTGACACACAGACATACGGACAAGATTGCAAAATTATGTTTTTCCGTATCAGTGAGATGTAAAACGTCGAGATTTGTAAAAATCTCGTTTTTTTTGTTTTTTTTTTGCACGATTACAAGACTTTCTCTATACTTCGTATATACGAGAAAGTAAAAAAGAGATC